ACCACCTTCGAGCGTTCTCTAATCGTACAACACCGCTATCGCATAAAAGCGTTACTTTCTCCGTCTTATTAATTAAGATCAGCCTTTTTAACGACTAAAAAGGATGCTGCTGTAACCGAGCTATATTCAGTTTCCTATCTAACAAGATGGAACGCATATATTTTTTTCAATTCCATCGGATTATCAAAGATATTAGAATTTTATTATTGTAAGAATATCAATAAATTATATGTACATGTAATATATATAATAATATCAATAATAATAATATAATATAATAATATCAATAAATTATATATGTACACGTAATTATAAGCACACAAAATTATTTTATTTTTTTCGCGTGATACGTTGCAGTTTCTCAATTGATTCGTGTTACCTCGTTATATGTATTTTCTAAAAATATAAATTGCGAATTAAAAATTAAAACGCATGAACCATAATTAATTAGTTCTAATAGAAAATCAAAATTTAGAATTTTAAATGTATACAAAATTACATTCAAAATTATATCTCATGATTTTATGATCTCATTATTAGAATGATATGTTTTTTTTTAATGATTTGATCAAAATTTTAAAGATGCTTCAGTAACGAATAAAAATTTTTCTATAACTGATAACCACTTTAGATCAGATTGCATCGGAAGAGAATCTCATCATTACGAAATGATCAAGGAGAGATGATCGATACCGCACGTTTGCTTCGTTCGAGAGTCGAAAGTGAATATCGCGTTCGCCAGTCGAGGAGTCAGCGACCTTTAAATATACCTCACACATGTCGTTCAGTCGAAAAAATAAAGTTTGCGAAAACTATACGATATTCCTCTAGTATGATATTTATGGCCGATATAAAAGCACACCTTACATCGCATTAAAGAGTACATTCGTGTAGGCTTTTATTATACTTGTAGAGTCTGTAGAAACTATAAAAAACGTCATATAAAACTTACAGAAATCTATAAAAAATAAAAATGCATATTTTATCTGCAAAAGAAAAATTATGACAACAATTTACTTAAAAATTGAGAAAATAAAAAATTAAGAAAATAAAAAGAGAGAGATTATATATAAAATTTTTATTTAAAAAAAAATTCTCTCTTATATATACGTATACTTTAACATATGGACTTCGTTATCTTTATCTAGAACACAGCTGATATACAGAATATTCTATGTATTTGTTACATGTATAACATTTATGTAGCATAATTCGTCGATAATGGCTTTTTCGTTACCAGAACAGCATTTCGTTGCATGACGTAACTATGCAACTAATTGAGTTATACCGCGAGAATAACAAATGCCCTTGCATTTTGCATACCAATATATATTTCAAGATACTTTGAATACCTTCGTAGATAGGCGCAGAGATTAGACGAAGATTTACAAGCGCGTTTTAAAGTTGCAACTATTAAGATGCGAGATTTTGTCTCGGACGACATTCTAGTTATTGCGCAGCAAAACACTATTACTTCATATCGAAACATGAGTTTAATTTTACCGATAAAAACCGCAAACGATCGTTAACCTATATCACTTTCGATATTACACAAGAGAATAAATGCTCTATCATATTTTTCTAAAAAAAACTCAAACATATTAAACTATGAATACGTATTATATTGTTTAAAAATTTAAATTCTCTAAATTTTCTAATAGCAAAAGCAATAAACTTGCTCGTATTTCTATTAAACATTATAGATCCAGGGGAAATATCCTTCGATGAGAAATTGAAAATAAATTAAATCAATTAATTGGTCATATATTTCGAAACAGAAAGCTCTTTATGATACTTGAGCTGATAAGAGCAACAGCGAAAAATCATAATAAATTAATTCCTGCCTGCAGATATGTAAACGTAGACATTATCGGATGTAATTACGACGTGAATCACGAATACTACTTATCACGCGATCGTCGAAAGATGAAAACTCGGCGCAACGGTACGTGTTCACGGTATTAGCAATAATATTAGCGATTATCGTTTCGTGTTTGCGGGGAACCTCCTTTAACCCTCCGCGGTTGTATATATTGGCATTTAAGTGATCGCAGACTTTTACTCTTATGGTCGCGAATGTGTCGGCGCGTAGCCGCATCGCACAATTATATATACGCTTATAGTTGGATTGCAAAACGGCATTCTACTTTAAGTACCCGTACATATAGCCGATACCGTTAACTCTCGTCTACTGATAATTTTTATTGCAATCGCATTCGTTATTATCGTTATAATTCGTTTATATCGTATTATCAAAAAGTTGCAATGTTAAAGATGCAATTGAATTACTGCTTATATTAAAGAGAGATGTTTTTATGAAGTATATAATCTCTGAAATTTATCTTACTTATTTTATTAAACAATTTATAATTTTATTTTATTATATAATCTTTGAAATTTATATTTTATTAAATAATTTGTATAAATTTTAAAAAATTGTGACTATTGAATTATCAACGATTTATGGATAAATAAATGGATTAAATATTTAAGTTGTATATATAAATGTTTAACAAAATTAATTGAACATTTAAACGAAAAAATATGATTTATATTAAGACTTATGTGGTGATCGAGAATGTTTATATATTATAAATTCAATGCGTAGGAACTTGTTTATAGCTATCTCGGCAACTTTGAGAAGTAAAAATAAATTTTTATTTTATCGATATTACTCTAGAATTTATAAAAAATGTTTTTTATTGTTCGAATAATGCAAAGATCAAATTTAAAAAGATTTTATCTCAAAAAGATTTTATCGTAAAAATATTCGAGTTCGAGAATATTATTAGAAAATTTTCAAATATAATCTACAACTCCTAAAAAAAAAACACCACTAGATAATCAGATTTTTCCGTAAAGAATAAATAAAATAGAGATAAAAAAAACTCGTGCACAACAGAACACTTTGTGTAACCAGCAGAAGAAGAAAAGTCATACACAGCTGCCAATAATCGGGCACGTGCGCGTCGATAATGCATTTATGTGCGCCGTAAACTCGAATCGATTTACATTCGCTGCTCGACCCACGCTAAATCGTCGACCCAGTTTCGAGATCCGAGAACGAGACAGACACGTCGCGAATCGCAAAAGGAGAAAAAGGAGAAAAAAAAGATAGGTCGTTCGCCACTTTGCGCGCGATAGAAAGCACCGATCATCGATCACGCTTTCTTTCTTACAACCGATTACGTGTAAAAAGGCGTCGAGGTTCAACGAACTACGTGTACGCGGATGCGACTCTTCGCCGCGCTTCTTTCCCGAGAGATCGAGCATGTATCCGGTACTTCCTTCATTGTGATTGCGCGGCGGAAACGCGCGAGAGAAGCGACGTATTGGGAGACTGGAGATTTATTTTCCCTCTTGATGATGGTTAGATAAAACGGCTTCCCTCGCATGCACCGCGCAAAAGAGCAAGTATGAATACGACGTTAGGATTAATACACGTACACATTCATTCATCTTCTTTTTATCTTTGCGCTCCGTAAAATAATTCTACAAAAAAATTCATTTAAAGTATGTAACAATAAGATTATTATTCTTGGCATTTACAATCTTTTTTTTATATTTATGACTAACTGACTGATGTGTAATTTTATATATCTCTATGCGTCTAGAATTCTTTGCAAGAAAAACTCGATTAATTACATATAATTTTTTTATATAATAATATAATAAATTATAAATTAATATTATTATATAATTTATTATATTATTATAATAATATAATAAATTGTTATATAATTATATAATAATTTTTTTCACTTTTTCTTTAAAAGCTGATATTTAAATTTTAATAAAAAGCTTTAAAGAAAAAGTGAAAAAAAAATTATGCGTCAATTTTGTCCAGCAGTATGTTATCAAAATTTTGAAAATAAAAAATAGGTCATCACAAAGGTAACGATTCGAAAGCGTTGCGAATCAGCGAACCGCTGACAAGAATGAGACAGGCAGAATTTTCCTGCGTTAAATATCGCGAAGGTAACACCTCTTACTCCCAGAATGCCAGTCGAAGTATAACATACCAATACATTAATCGTCGAAGTCTATAGCGCATTTCGATTTCTATCTTGGAATTTGATGCAAAAAACCGGTGCGACTTCCTGATTCAAATTTAGGCTCGAATTTCTTTGCAATGTCAACGATCAAGTGTAAAGTTGTGAGGTACTCTATCGATCGATTAATAATTATATCGGAAACACTTTCATACTTTTAGAGAAAATGTTTAACGAGAAAAAAATATACAAAGTATATATTTATAATAATTTCAATCTTGTGATGTATTTTTTTGAATTGATTGTATATTTTAAAGAATTAAAATAATTTGTATAGCAATCAATATACACAATCACTATTATACTCTGAATTATTTTATCTTAATCTTACCATTTGGCATATAAATCTTTTTACGTAATTTATTTTAATATTAATAATAAATAATAATAAATATTAGTCTTGTTGTGCTAGTCTAATACTTGTGATCTGTATATTATATGTACACTATATCATTGTGTTTCTTTCACCGGGTATATTTTCGATTATAAAAAAATATTTCAATTCAGCCAATCATTGCAGCCAATTGATTGATATCGATTTTATCATACATTATATTGATTATTGTCATTTAAAAAAAATACTGCTAGACAAAACTATTGGAGGCTAATTTACTTATCCATTTAGAACGACTTAAAGTTGTGATTCATCTCTCTTAATTTTTAAAGGTAACAAAAATAAAATTTCATGTAGAAATGAGAAAAATTCATACAATTTTCGAAAAAGTTTTGAAAAAAAAAATTTATATATCCTATATAATTTAAAATAATTTACAAATATTTTTTCCAAAATTCTCTCAACGTTTACAATATACAAAATATCATGACGTATATATATAATTTATTCCGGCATCAAATCTTTCGATCGCGAATAAGATTGAACGTTCAGAGGGGATTATCATTCGGGCGATAAAAGCGCACGTTTATAAATCAACGGTGCATTTTACTCACCGTGAGCTGCGTCTTGTCAGGTGCAATCGCCGTGATCTCGACCGGTCTCGGCTCTGGTTGGTTCGCCTTACTGAGAATCGCAGCCGGCATTTTCGCGACGAGGGACAGCCTCCTGGTGAGCCGTCTGCCCAATTCGGCTCGCCTGCGGACCCTAATGCGGGGTCCGGTGCCCTTGTAGCTCCCGAATTCCATTCTCGATCGCAGGCGAGGGCAATCCTTTCCTTCCTATCGATTTTCGTTCATGGCGACACACATACACATACACACCCGTGCGCGCGCGCGCGCGCAGCACGTACACAAATGCAGACGCCGGTGTTCGTCTCGTCGTCGTGTTACCACGTAATTATTCCGGCAAACGTCGTATATCCTCGCGAAGGACCATCTCGAAAGTCAACGTCGAGATATCTTCTCACTAATTACCTGCCTGGGCGAACCGTCGAGGCTCCGAAAGTTCCGCAAACGTCGCCATTTACACTCGACTTGCCGAATTTTTTGCTTGAACACGGAGTCGCTCCAGCTGAATCCGCGGAAAAATCACTCGCCCCGCGAATCCTAATGATACAATCGCCGGATGAATCCCACGACGCGCGATACACACAACGAACCGAACACGCGCGATGAGAAAAACTGACTGAATGACGCTGAATTGTGCTGTACTAACGCGCGCAGCACCAGCTTAGGCGGGGAGGGGACGAAGGCGCGCGAAGGGAGCCACATGGTATGCACCTACGTTCATACCGCGCGCAAACTTCAGACCGAGCGCGCTTGCAGCTATATTCTCTCTCCTTCCTTTTCTTTCTGTCTCTTGGCCGAAGATTGAAAAATCCAGAGAGGCGCCGACACCGATCCTCGCTGCCTCGATCGTTTGATCCACCCGCCCGCTCGTTCGGTCTGCCTGACGCGCTTCGACTGAAATTGAATCGCGGTAGCCTCCTACCACACGAGGCCGCGCCGCCACTAACCATCGTCGCCACGCCACCTCCGCGCCTCTCCCGTGCCACTCCCGGCGTGCGAGCCGCGCACCGTTGGTAAACAAAACGCATCCCCGCGGGAGGCTAGGATCGAGACGGTCGGCGCGATGACGTAACGGATCGGAGCGCGATCTGTCAAATGTCAAAATAATCGTCGCGCGATACTCCAACTGCTAGATTCGTATATCGCGATCTCTGGAGCGCGACGATTTCATATCTTAGCGTCTTCTTCATTTACAGATTTACATCTGTCATAAATATACGAGAGGTCAACCACTATTCAAAAAATATATGATTATCATTTGTAGCAATACAGTACACTTTAACTGTTAACATTGCCATTGTATTGTTTTCGTATTGTTAATAATGCTTATTTAATGCTATTGTTGGTGTTCCTATTATTATTTTATTGTTAATATTGCTAGTATTGCCATTGCAGAATTCGATTTCATATCTTAGCGTCTTCTTAATTTACAGATTTACATTACTGTTATGAATATACGAGAGGTCAATCACTATTCAAAAAATATAGTGATTATCATTGGTAGCAATACAGTACACTTTATTGTTAACACTGCCATTGTATTGCTTTTGTATTGTTAATAATGCTTATTTAACGCTATTGTTGGTATTCCTATCCTTATTATTTTATTGTCAATATTGCTAGTATTGCCTTTGCAGAATTAAAAAATATTTCTAGTATATATTTTTCTGTCTTATATTGTTAGTATTATAATATATATTTTTCTAAAACATGTATTTTCGAAAATTATATTCACTATACTGCCGCATATATTTCTAATGAAATGTACAATGATTGCCATAGTGGTTGACCCCTTGTGAATATATGTGCGCTCCATTTTTTACATTACACGATAAAATAGCAGTACGAAGACATTGATTCTTTTAAAAAATAATTAATTGAAAGCGATTATTTTTTTATTAAATATTAAAGTCGAAAGTTTGGTGGGAACCACTCACTTTCTTTAACCACGCTTTCTACCATACAAATTTTGTTTCTTTTTCAATATAAAAGCCATGTTCATTTTTTTTTTGCTTTATTTCGAATATAACTGAAACAAAATAGATTTCCATTTAGCAAATACTTGCGAATCGCGATATTGCCGTGTGAAAATTACAAGTCGATTAATTCCACGGCACTTTTACCGCCATTTGAATAACTGAACTGTGTTACAATGGTCATAAACATAGTAAAAATAGACTGCATGCATATTCTGTTTTACCTGTAAAACATACACAGAAAAAAATGACATTCTTATTTTTAAAATATATTTAGTTTTAACATGGAAATGAGATTATATTGTGTTTTTTAAAGAAAAATATAATTGCTTAAATAATTGCTTACTTGAATGAAACCATTTTACATAGTTCAATCAAGAAAAATATATTCTTATGATTTCAGATTTAATTTTCTTGAATGGAAAAGAAATAATGTTAGATAGAAAATAACATTTTTAAATCAAAAATTATAATTTTCTTAAAGTAGAATTAAATAATTATATATTCTTAAGATGACAATTACAATATTAAAATAAGACTATAATATTGTTGAAATTTAAAATTATTAAATTCTTCTAAGAAGATATAAATTATTGCGTATACACGAAACAATGAACGCGTTAATTTAAGTATATAAATTTTGATTTGACACTTTTTTTTCTGTGTATAGATCATGCATTGAAGATTGAAAATAAAGATTAAAATTTTTTATTTGAAAAAAAAAATAAAAATTTCACTAGTCAGAACAAAGAGAACTAAAATATTCTTGTCCTTCTATTTTCATTCCTTGTTAAATTTTAATTCTTTAATCTTTAATCTTAATCTTTAACATATCAGTATAATACAAATTTAAATGATTCATCATGCACCGTAATTTAAAAAAAGCGACAATATTTCAGGAGGGCGATTTTATCTCTTTTTAATTAGAATAAAATCATAAACTATAAGATGCACTTCGCTTGACGCTATTTTCGCATCCTCGAAGATTCTTCGCTCTGATTGATCCATTTTAAAAATAGGAAAGAACGTACTTTCCAAAGCTCTCCTTCTTTTTCTAATTTTGACGCAACGTTTAATCGATTTGCACAGTCTATATTCATTGTATTTATAGCAACATCCGGTGTTTCTTTAAGCGAAAGTCATTGTTTCCGCGAGATGCGAGAACTCTCGAATGCGTAATCTAAAACCGCGATAGGGGAAATTGCGGAACGTGATCGATGATTGATTTATATCCACGAGCCACAGCGTGACGGCATCGTTGACAGAAGCATCTCGACGAGACACGATGTGGTGTCTCCTTTCTCGCTTATAAATAACGAAGACCTATTAGAAAGCGCATTTCTACGTCGATCGCGTCGAGCGGTTACATAATGTCGGCGTGTTACTTCGACCTGGACATTATATCCATCCAAGTTTGTAAACATTCAAATGCAGCATATACAAGGTGTGTCAAAACAAGATCAGCTAATCTTTTGATGATAAATTTAAACAGTTTTGATGTGTATTAAAAAACAAATCTTCAATCTCTTCGATACTTTATAATGCTATTACCGATGTAACAGTACACCTCCTATAATTTTTTATTACAATTCGATTTTTCAGCTTTATATATACGAGCTTTCTAGGATATTTCACATATTTTATTCGAATTAATATGATCGGAATTTATATCCAATTTCTCGAGGATATAAATACAAATAATAGATTAGATAAAAAGTACACTAATAAGAACTCGCTAATAAGTAGCGCATGTCGAGTAATAATGTACTGAACTAATATGTAAAATATTTTCTACTAATCATTACGAGAAAAGCGATCTTAATATAAAGATAGATGATCAGAATATTATCAGATTATTAGTTAGAATTCAATCAAGATAAGTTTGAAAATAATTTTATATTTTTTGTAACGTGAATAAAATATGGTATAACCCATGTAACGCGCTCCATTTAGCGTCGTGAAAATGATTTTTATGAAATTAAAAGAAAAAAATCTATGAAACTAAAGCTTTATATCAAAGTAAAAATCTACAATCCATTAATTCAAGGCAAATGATTGAAGATTTAAGACAACGATAAACTTCTTTGATATATTATATTAGCTCCTGTATAATTTCATCTCTACTTTCTTCAAATATTTAAACTTTTAATTGGTCATAATTTTCAATCGCTTGTTAAAAATAGAAATTGATTTAATAATTGCCCTATATATATGTATGTATGTATGTATGTATAATCATTTTATATATTAACCTTTAAATTATGTTTAGAACATTCAGTCCTAATTTGATAATTGAGTATAACTTTGAGTTAATTTTCTATTTTTTCTATTTTTTAAAACAATATTTATATACATACAAACAAATGAAATTTTTAAAAAAGTCAAAGGATACGCTGCTTTTAGAACGCCTACTTGTTGTTAGAGCATAATATTTTCAATCACGTGTGTCTTCGATCATAAAAACGTGATTAGCATCTAATATTCTCGACATCTTTAAAGCTTTCTTTGTTGAAAAAACAATATAAGCATTAATTTCTGGAATGCAACAGCATTGTGCAAATTGTGCATGTACTTAAAAATATACATATAATTTGTAATTGCTTCTGTTGAATTCCAGAAATTATTACATATATTATTGTCTTTTCAAAATTGAAGCATAAATTATATAAATTACTTCAATTATTGATTTTATCTCGAATCTAAATATATAAATTGTTAATGTATATATATATATATATATATATATATATATATATATATATCCACTATGCCGATGAAAAATAGTAGCGCGGAGTCGAAACGAGCTGCTGGTCTCCAAGATGAAAGTAGAGATGTATATGTTAAATTTTAATAATAACTTGTCATGCTTTGTATTATATAAGAATTGCTATAATTTTTATATTTCAAAATATTTAATTTAATACAAAATTTTTAAAATATTTATAATAGATTTCAGGATTATTTTTAAGATATTTGTTAGTTATTACATATCATAGCGTAGCCAGAAGTTTCGGCATTCTGATGCTAGAAGAAAGAGTCTACGTTTCAATAAAAAATATTGCAATCGTATGGAAATCGAAATAGTAACTGTAATTTTAATTTATTATTATAAATATTTTGATCTTTTTGGATTATATTTATATATATGTAAGTGTGTGTGTGTGTGTGTGTGTGTGTGTGTGTGTATGTGTATATACTTTTTTATATATAATATTTTTTTATAAAGATAAATTACTAATTTTTTAATTGTTTATTCGATATAAATTAATGAAATTTACAAAATATTATAGTGAAAAATACTTCCTTTTTAATCATATAATACTTAAATAATACTTCATATAACAATCTCTTCCCTCTTGATAAAAGATGAAATTAATAATCTTAAAATTCGTAAATAGAAAAATATAATTTCTTTTGCAAAAATCTGTTTTTATTTATTTATTTTATATTACAAACAGATTTACACATTTAAATAATCAAAATAAAAGGATGATAAAATTATATTGATTTATTTAGTAATATATTTTGATAATTTATTTTGACATATATATAGTGATATAGAATTTTTAATCTATATCATTATATGAATTATATATTTTTCGAAGAGTATATCTTAATAGATTTAGAAAAAATTTTTGTAAAAAAATATATATACTATATATAAATTTAACATAGACGATAATATAATAAGAAATTATTTTTTTTTAATGTCAAAAAGATTTAAAGATTGATGAAAGATTAATGAAGTCGAAAAATACATTATTTTTCTCTCGAAGAGTAGTTATCTAACATGAAATAAAATTCGAATCCTTACATGCGTTTGTATACAAACCGAAATTAGTAGAAGCAATAATCGCCTTCTAGATTTTTCATTTCTATGATTTCGTCTATATATTTGCATTGTTCATATGTCAAAAGTACAAAATCTAATATTGTTTTATTAAACATTGTTAAAAAAATAATTAATGAAATTAAATACAAATTTATATAAAAATTCTTATAAAAAAGAAAAATGAGATACATTATATTTATACGTTTATGAATCCAATATCTTGCAGTTTTAATTATTGAAATAAATAGATTATAAATCTGTTGTAAGACTATTTTGTTTTTCTTTTTTAAATTTCTCATATTAATATCATTATAAGTTACCTTTTTTGTAATATTACTTGAATGATAGTATTATTCTTTACAATTTCTTAGTTTATTACAAAAACTTTTTCCTTTTTCTTTTGTTTTTAAATAATTATAATCAATATTTCTATCAAAAGTCAATTTAAAAGTTTATCCTCAGTCTTCATTCGAAAAATTCATCCCTGCAATTTCATCTAGTACATTGCCGCGTGTCGATCGAAGTGTACTCTGTTGGATGCTCGAAGTACTAATGGCATTAACAAAAAGGGCGACATCTCCCGATCTTCCATTGGTGTCTGACAAATTTTGATAGTTTGTGCTGCGATTTTCGAGATAATTCCGGGAGTACCGTTGTGTTTACGGTCACGAAAAGGGGCCGCAAAAAATAGATGGCATGTGCAAGGTGCCGCGACGAAAACGACAGGTGTAATAATAATAATAATTCACTTTTCGGAGAGCTCGTGTATCGCACTCAAACATGATAAATCCGAATTCCGATTCGGAATCGATTGCGAGTACCGCTATGGAACGAGTAGGCGCGCGACAAAAGTCGAAGCACGGGACAAGCGGGAGATTCGCGACCTTTATTTGGCGACGCGAAAATAATCCACGACAAGAATGCAAGAGGAACGACTCGGCGAACGATACCAAGGATATGGAGCATAGGTTAAAGGGTCCTTCGAGTAGCAAGGTGTCGTTCGATTTTTTTAAGAATATCAGGAAACACTTGCAAATAAAAAATCTGTGCAAATCCAAACAAAAGGTAAGCAAATATCATTTCTTATTTGTTCCTTTTTTTTTTATACATATCTGCTCTTTTCGCAAACAGTATCATATTCTTAAAATAACTTTTTTTACTATTTTTTTTTTCAGAGTAAAGAGACAGATGTAAGTCCTTCCTCAAATCAGAGCAACATTATACCCGTCATTGAACCTTTTAATTCTTGCCAAGAGCGAGAAGCTTCAAATAATGACCAAGAGATCTCATCGATTAGACAACCCTTGTATGAAAATAGATTGGGCGATGTACTTGAAAATTCTTGCCATACTGGAGAAAATATAGATAATAGTAATACACAATATTATAATAGTGCAACTGGCATGAATTTTCTTATAGTTCCTACCAGGCAACAAGACGAATTGACACATGACACTGTTTATGCAATGCCTAGTTGTTCTGATGCTATAACGGCAGTTCCTAGTGCAATAGGGAAAGTTCCTTGCAATATGAATGAAACATTAAGTAATGAACATAAAGTTAAAGCAAGCCTTGCGGAAGAATTGCTCAATTTAAGCAAATATGGATGGTATTGGGGTCCTATATCAGGAGATGAAGCTGATACGAAGCTCATATCTGAACCAGATGGTGCATTCTTGGTTCGAGATTCATCTGACGATAGGTATATATATCAGATAATTTAATTTTGTAGTGTGTTTTACTTATATTAAATATGAGTGTAATATATATGAATTTGTAAAATGCTAAATATAATCATCTTTATATAGATACGTCCTAACACTTAGTTTTAAATCATCTGGGAAGATGCTGCATGCGCGTATGGAACACAGCGGCGGTCTATTTTCTTTGTGTAATCAATGTACAGAGAGTGAAGGTTTTACTTCGGTAGCTGCTTTGATAAATCACTCCATGAATTTTAGTCAATCTGCTGTCATTTGTTACTCAAGGCCGAAATATCCGGGATATCCATCATTTCCGGTTAGATTAACAAAGCCAGTAAGCAGGTTTACACAAGTAAGGAGTTTGCAGTATCTTTGTCGTTTTGTTATTCGCCAGAATACTAGAAGAGATAATATACACAAATTGCCTTTGCCACAAACTATCAAAGGATATATTCAAGAAGCACATTATTGATATAATGGACAAAAAAATAAATATCAAAAAGAGATTAATAAAGAAATTATTTTTATTAAAAAAAGATTTTAAGACTTGTTAAAAAAACGTTGTTGAGATAAATTTTAATGACAAAATTGGCAATATATAATAATGATCTTTACAACATATATATATATATATATATATATATATATATATATATATATAAAACATTTTTAATATAGTATAATATATAATAAAGAGAAAAATAAATTTCTCATATATATATATGAGAAATTTATTTTTCTCTTTATTATATATTATACTATATTAAAAATGTTTTCCCTTGATTGATGATGTTTTTATTCATTATTGAAAAGTTTGTGAAGGTATATAATTTATAAATATAGTTGAATAATAATAATTTATAAATGATAAAAAAATTAATATTACTTTTATCTATTTTTCAACAGAATGTTACATGCATTATCAAATTCTTATTGAAGTAAAAAAGGATATTTTTGTATTACAAATGTTATATAATCGTTTTATAATTATTGTGATAAATTTATAAATTATTAACTAAAATTTGTCTCTTTGCTATTTCTCATAATGGCAGAACGTAGAAAATTAGCCAAATTTTTATATGAAATTAATGCTGGACGATTATACTTAATTATGACAATATTGCAGAATAAACAAAAATGTTTTTAAATCTATTGTTAAATATTGGTAGCTTTACATAAACGATTTATATCTTTATATTTTGCATGCAGAAAATAAGGTTTACTATCTATTTTATTGTACAGATTTTGTTACAATATAATACTATGTAAAATAAATTACAAAATCATATATATTTGCTAATTAATATTCTTGATATTCATCTTCACATATGAGATCAGGTATTTAAAAAGAAAAAACTTTTAATATAAGAAATATTTTAATTATGCTCATTTATAAATATCTACAGCTTCCTTTTTTCTAGAATTTTCTCTAATCTATCTATTCCAACTCAGTCCAACTATATTACGCGCCTAGAACAGAAAAATATATATGCAAGATCTATATCGAAGATTGAATTAATTTCAACTACAAATTTTTTTAATAAACTAAATTTTTGAATTAAATTTTTTTATTACTAACTGTTAATATAATATATTATAAAAAATAAATACAAGAAAAATATTTACCGTTACGAAAACAGAAGTCGCCATTTCTGTGACATAGCTTAATGTTTCATCCGGTGATGATTTAGCAGAACTCGAAAGCATCGCGTACACATGTAAAGCATCTTTTATTCGTCTGTCTAAGAATAGCCAAGTCTTTTTATGATCTTCACTAGTGTCTTGCAACATATACAACTCAGTGGCCTTATAAATGGTTGCTAATATCATCCTCCTGGTGTACCAGTTGATCTAATTAAAATAATATGCCATGTTTTTTAAATAGCATATTTGAACGATGTTTTATTTGTGCTTATAAATAAAGTTATGACTTACATCGACAGACCTGTCGCCGGCATAATAGCAGATATCATCGATTAAAGTTAATAAATTCGCTAAAGCAGTTGGTACGTTCGGTGGTAGAGTCATGATAGCAAGTGCTTGTGACCAGGTCTTTTTATAGGGAATCACCATTCTTAATCGTGTTTCTATGGCATCATGAATTTGTTGTTCTGGCATCTTTCGTGGATTCGAAGGATCTGTTTCAATCGCTAATGTTTCTTTTTCTAGCATCTGATTTAATTTATGGTTGGACATAGAATAAAAATGCAGCACTAAAGCCGCACCACCATTTGGAAACAGTCCGTGTATTACTCCCGGATATCCAATCGACTCGGCACCTTTGGCATCATAATTTTCAATTACATCATGTTATTTTATTTTTATGTTAAAACGATACATATCAATAACGACAAAACATTAATATTATATGGATTTACATTATTATACATAAAATATCCTTTGGAAATTTTTATTTTTAAATTAGCATTTCAAGTACTTTTTATCTAAAAGACTAATCTAATTTACCAAAAATCAAAATCAAAATTATAAGATAACTAATTTTTCAAAACGGATAGCATATAAAAGAATCGTAAATTTACCAGCACTGATAGCCTGTTTGCTCCATCCCATCTCAGGGACAAATTTCAGAGAAGCGCAAAGTATTTTTGTTTTAATATTTTTCTCATATTCCTCATCGGTCTCCTCATGTATAAACTGTTGTGGTTCTTTCTTTTTGTTATTATCATTTTCAGATTGATCGCTCAGCAAAGCCCTGGAAGTCCATAAATGTCTAAAACCTAGTAAAATCAATATCTATCCTTTAAAATGATCTACATATTAGATTGTGTGTGTGTGTGTGTGTGTGTGTGTGTGTGTATGTGTATATGTATATGTATATGTATATGTATACGTATATGTATATGTATATGTATATATATATATATATATATATATATATATATATATATATATAATATTTTGTTATGACATATATAATTTATTCCAATCACACAACAAAGATTTATATTAAGATATTAATCAATAAAACAAATATATTAAAAAAAAATTTTCATTAAATTTTGTGTCTGTGACAATACAATGATAGAATTTTTACAGAACAATCATTACAACTGCTATCAGAACTCTTTGTATTTTTTTTAAATTCGTAGATTGTTGTACTTGCTTTACAGACGCTTAAATTTTAGATAATTTACAACTTTTTTCATAGCAAAAATTTTGTTTAATTATGTATATGATCCGTACCATAAAATTAATAGTATACAATTATTAAGTATGATCAATATTTTGTTGAATTTCATACTTTTAGTTTAGCACATTCAATGAGAATTCTTTATGAGCCATATCCATGCATTCATTAACTCGGATAAGAACACTTTCCATTACATCCAGACCATTTATCGCTTGATAACAAAAAGAAATTTTTTTTGGAAGTGGCATCATCGGTAATTGTTCACCGCCGATGGTTAATATGACTTCCGCTTCAACCTTTTTCATCTCACTATAATCGTGTATTTTATTATAATTCTTCTTTTGTTGTTCTAAGTCTTTTATCTTCACTTTCCAATGCGCTCTACACAAATCTATTCCTTCTCTCAACGGATTCAAATAATCATTTTCTAGCATATCTGTAATATTCCAAATACCCGTTTCATTATGCTTATCTCTGATGAACAAGAATCTCAATAGATTCAGTACAGTAATAACTTCATCTGATATCTCCACTAAATCTGACGAACTTCCATATGGCAAATTACAAATCTTTTTCAGCATCAGTTCCAAATTCTTTCCAAGAAACTGGGGATTTTGTGGAGTTGAGTTAAGACAATCGATAATAGAAGACTTAAGTATATTAATGATCAAACTTAATAAACCAGAATGATCGCTAATTTTGTACAAATATAAGATAACAGAATATCTAGCTTCCATATTGAATATTTCGATATATTTTTGAAAAACACATAATGCCTTCTTTCGATTTGTATCACTATTACAGTAAATCATTATTTTAATAATTGGTTTAAATAAATCTGAATATATTTTTAGTCCCAACACTTCAGGATCTACAGATCGAGATGAAATGCGGTTTATAACAGTTTCCATAAAAATTAATCCATTTGAAATTACAATATCTTCCTCTTTGCAAAGCAAAATTTCAAAAAAATATGCGCATGTTTCAAAAATGTAATAAGCACTATAAATTTGTGGTGCTTTTTTCCAATAATCATTTTTGGTAATTATGTAACAATAAAAATTAGCATAGGCCAAATCCGATATATTAACACTTGATTCAAAAAGCATACTACGCTTATAATTTTCAGTATATAAATATCCTTCTTGCACTCTGTTGCGAATGATATTTCTACGACGTTTGCTAACAATATTCAAAAAGTATAATATATCTCCAGTCAGGAAAAATGATAATGTTATTATTTTCTCTGAGAGTTCTTTATATATCGCTTCTTCAATAATGTTTTCGTTCCAGTAGTAGAAAGGCTTCTCGCACAGAGAAATAAGAAAGCTCAAAAGATAATCTCCAAGCAGTGATCCCTCCTCGAATTTAGAATTGATCTTTACCACTTCTTGCACTAATGGTTCCAAGAATAATATAATTCTTCTATATACATTCACAATTCTATCACTATCAGCATCATGTAACGATGTTAAATCCTCGATGTATGATTTGATGGTATTGATGCACCATTCGATAGCCTTACTCTTATCCTGCATTTTCATCATACATATACCTAATGGTTCCAAAATGGCACAAAATTTGATATCGTTATTCAAACATTCTATCTGTTCTAGGAACTCCAATACAGTTTCCATGGGATTACACTTCTTGGCTATGACATTTAACACATTCTTGCAGCATTCAAATAATTCTTGCTCAGATTGCAAATTAGATTCCGTGAGATAAGTAGCGGTAATCGACACAATCTCACTTACAGAATCCTCGATCACTTTATTGCTCTCTGTCGTGAAAAGTCTCAGAGCTTCCTCGGGTTTATGATCCTCCAGGAAACCGGTGAAGCGTTTGACGAATATTTGCGACATTTTTTCCGATTATGAAAGAAATTTTTTGAACATAAATAACCACGCACAATATTGGACGCAAGCAAAAAATTATCCTTCAAAAAATATTTTTTATCCTATATATATATGTTTATATATTTGATATTTCGAAATATATCGCTTTCTTCCTAAATTATTAACTATATTTCTGCTGCTCGACGATTAAATAGATAAAGTAGAAATATATTTCTTCTTTTTTTTCCAGATACTTTGGACAAGATATCGTGACTTGTAAAACTGTGAGGTTATCTCGCTGGACAAGGTCACGATATATTTACATTCTCACTACACAGCTGATAAGATAGAAAGAAAGAGCTTCAAGTGCTGTTTTTCTCGACATAAATAATATTTATGAGCAGAATTTTACAGCGTGACTTTACGAAACTTGATTGCAATCGACGAGTGATTATGGCTGATCGGAAAGACGCTCTGGATGCTTTGAAACATCATTCTATCTTTATTCTCATGGAATGTAGAACAAAGATAGAATGATGTTTCAAAGCATCCAGAGCGTCTTCCCGACCGCAGCCTATGATAGCGATTGAAACCTGGGAAGAAAATAAATAAATGCGAAAGAAATGAGAAAGAGAGAGAAGATAGCGAGAATCGATAGCCAGCAACTGACAAGGCAAAGAATTATTTCAACATACTAGGGGCAAGAATTCGCTTACCATCAGCTATTGGAAACCTGCTTCGTGCTGAACGAAAAGAATTCAGCATCGCCATCTCGCCAGTTGAATTAAATATTAAATATTCGTAATCAATGAATGTTCAAATGAACCGCGTGCATTCATATTCTTATTGTTCTTGTAGCGTATTCGAATTTCGCGTGTCGGCTCGACGTCCCGAAACGTACTAAGATCGCCACTTTTGAAATGACTATATAAGCGAGAATTAGGTTATACAGGGTGAGTTTTATTTCCTGTGTCAAGCTTTTTATCATACGAGAGATTATCGACTGCAATTAATTAATAAATTGATCGGTACACAGATGTCAGTTATTTGGATCGATCGTATCAATCCATATATAATATGTACAAGTTAAAAGTTCAATCAAATGTGATATGGATTTATTATTATTATTATTATTAGAACTACGTATTATTATTATGCTTATTAAATATATATATTATTATACTTATTATTATTGTTATTAAAGCTATGTATACATATTCGATATATTAAAGCAGTAGAAATACATATTTAAAAATTTAGTTTTTAAATTTAACACTTTAAAGCGTCGTCTACAATGGCAGTAGGATTAATGGATTAAAGCTGTAACTCAAGAAATTGACCAATCACAGTCGAGTATTCTTTTGATTCTTAACTGTGATTGGTCAATTTCTTAAGTTACTGCTTTAATCCATTAATCCTACTGCCATTGTAGACGACGTGTAATTTTTTATTTATAAAACTTTATTTCAAAATCCGCATTTATTTTTATGATTCTTAAATTTTTATTATTGATTTATACGTTAAAAGTGTGTAGCAAAAAATTTTCTTCCTTCTTAAAATAAAATTACACAATTGTTCCATAAGAAATACATTCTTAATAATAATAATAATAATAATAATAATAATAATAATAATAATAATAATAATAATAATACGTAGCTTTAATAATAATAATAATAAATCCGTACCACATAATTTGATTCACTTTTTAATTTGTACATATTATATATGGCCAATCCAAATAACTGACATCTGTATATCGATCAATTTATTAAAATTGCAGTCGACAATCTCTCGTATGATAAAAAGTTTGACACAGGAAGTAAAACTCACCCTGTATATATCGTGCATATCAGACAAGTGACAGAGATAGCGTATATTAATCGACGGGATTTCTAAGAAATGCGTTACATAATTTTTCTAAATCTCAATCACGTAGAATGTAAATATTAAATATAAAAAATATTATTAAAAAGGTAAAGATAAAAACCTAAAGGTTTATTCTATCGCACTCTCATGCATGGTGCATCGTTGATTGGTTATAGCGTATTATTGCGATAAATGAACGCACGTTGTGTATCATCAGGAATATAACATCGTCTGCTAAGTTTTCGTATATTTGTGGATTGCGCTATTTCTCTTTTAACCTCTCAGATGACTACAAGAATAATTTGCAGCGCATGATTTTATTCTGATGTTTAATTACAGATATCAAGTAGAAAAAATACATTCCAAGAATTAAACTCGTTTCAAAATGAGCGACTCGGAGGAAGAAAATTACGTGACGTTTGGTGTTCCTCTGGACCCTTTGGACGAAGGTTCGTATATGGTGCAAATTAATTTTATGCAAGTTTATATATTGTCTGATAAATTTGTATTATATCAAAGCTCTCTCTTTAATTTTGCAGAGAATATTCCACGAAAAAAGCCTGTTACGATCGAAGATCAATATGCTTATGATGCCCAAGGTAGACGCAGATTTCATGGAGCATTTACGGGTGGTTTTTCAGCGGGATATTTCAATACTGTTGGTACTCGCGATGGTTGGAGACCACAGCAGTTTAAGTCTTCGAGATGTAATAAGGCAGACAACATCATTCAACGACCGGAAGATTTTATGGATGAAGAGGATACGAGTCTCTTTGGAATCGCTCCTAAAGGAATTCAAGCTACTAGCGATTATGCTGATCATGGACAGAAAGGAAAAAAGAGAGAGAGAATAAGTCAGGACAATAATGGACCCATCCCTGGTGCTCCTGTATTAAAAGAACTTTTAAAACCTGTCAAGTTAGTATTTGTAAAAAATAATAATGGTGCAATTTGATCTTTGTTGCCATTAAATATTTATCATTTTTAATTTACAGAGAATTAACAATACATTGACTATATTTATCATTACATTTAATTTTTATTTATATATATTTATATTTAAAATTATATTAAATTATTTTTAGAATATATTAGATTATATTTTTTTTTTAGATTATATTAATTATATTAAATATATCTTTTTGTAATTTCAGAGAAACAGTGGGTATTGTCTTGCTCAAGAAGATGGGTTGGAAACCTGGTCAAGGTGTAGGTTCCAGACTCACAAAGAGAGAAAAGCAAAAGATAAAGCAACGTCATGAAAGATTAAAATTAACACAGGGTAATCCTGAAATAACAGGAAGCAATTCAGAGGATTCGGATGATAATTCTACTAATATTACTTTCGCGCCTGATGATTATGAGCCATTCAGGTGCAAGCCAAAGGATAATTATTTTGGTATTGGCTACTCGGGGTTAGACAGACGGAAAATCCTCTCTGGCCATATCAACCTATTCGATACTCCAGCGTTTTGCGTTCAAGATAAAAACAAGAAATTATCGATTCATGGCCAAGCATTCGGGGTTGGTGCATTCGAAGCCGATGACGAAGATATATACGAAAAAGAAGATATGTCGCGTTACGACTTTGCCCTGGGCCCCGAGCGTAAGACGAAGACAAGATGGTCGCAGGACGCTCCAACTAGCTCGCAAATCGATTGCTTAGACGGTTTCGTTCGTGCGAAAGAGAGATTAGTAAGCAAGAAAATCTTCAAACCACCGGAATTGCCAAAGGATTTTGTGCCAGTACACGCTGTTAGAAAAAGCAGATTCTATCCGCCGATTGCAATCCCAGTAGAGAATGGCAAACGCAGAGAGCCATTGAACGCCGTAGATAGAGCGCGGATTTTAGAAGATCCTGATGAACGTTTAAGGAAGCCGTCATCAAGCACATCTGTCGCCTCGAATATCATTTCCAATACTTTGAATTTGCATGGTAAACAGCAAACGGAGGAAAGAAAGAAATTGCAGAATCAACAAACAACAACAGGCAATTCATGGTTAGATAAATTAAATGCCCAAAACTTTGTCAAAGGTGGTGTTGACGGTCTCAAACAGAATGACACGGGTAGTTTGAAAACATTAGAAGATTTCAAAGAATCTGCTTCTACATCCGTACAATCAAGCACGGAAACCTCGACAGAATATGATCCCTCGAATAAAAGCGAAAAAAGTGCAAAATTGTTTTCGTCCAATCCGGACAAACAGAGACGATTCGAGCAATATCTTATTTTCTTGAAAAATAATGAGAGGAATAAACTCGAGACTATCCAACCACTTTCTATGACCGAATGGGAGAGAGAACAAGAATGTACGGAATTCGAGCAAGCGGCGAAGTTGGAGCAGTCGAATAATTATATGGTGGATAAGTTTATACATAGCACTGACCCCACGATGGACAAAACGGATCCGCAGAAAGATGCAAAGGAAGCAGTGAGACTAAAGATGTTTGGCAAACTTACGCGAGAGCGAAGCGAATGGAAACCTGCAAGTATCGTTTGCAAAAGATTCAATATTCCCGAACCGAAAATTGGCTGCGCTCCAATCGTGACAGATCGGAAATCGGTAAAATTCTCCATCTTTGATTCCTTAGATTGGTGTAATTCATCCAAATTCACAAAAGCTACAGAGCAACAGAGAATACAAATGGAAGAAGTTCCTCAACTATCCAAGAAAACGGAAGAGAGTACAAACGAAGTCATTTCTGACACTGATAATATTTCATCGATTGATTATCAATCTTCAGAGCCCGTCTCCGAAAAGTTTAGAATTTTCGAAGCTTCTTACGAGAAAGTTTTCGGCAAGGGTATTCAAAATATTCTTTCTACAACATCGGAAAATGCTAAACAAGATGTGAGCGATAATTTAAAGGATCAAACAATTCAAGAAATAGAAAAGAAGCAAGAAATCGGTACTGCAGTCAAAGATCAGTCAAATGAGAAGAAGGATCTCTTTAAGGCAATTTTCCTTAGCAGCAGTGAGGATTCCGAGGACAGCGAGCCGGAAGAGAAGGTTGATAACGAAACAGTCAAATCGATCTTGATCGGGAAAGATCCGAAAGAGATAAACAGTCAACGAAATACATCACCGCCACGCGGTATTTTCGCAAAATTAGACCTTGATAGCTTGGTAACGCATTCGAAATGCGTTAATGACGAAAGTACAGCTTCCAAATCAGTTTCGGAAACCAGTTTACCAACGATTGATGAAATGCAAGACAATCTCATGGATTGTAACAATGTAATCGAAGATGCGGAGACTGCGATGCCGCCAAATATGTATGGTCCGATTCTACCACAAAGATTGTTAAAGCAGGAAAGTACTGCGACAACAGAAGTCGATAGCGTGAACCAATCGTTAAAGCCAGTGTTTCGTAGCATCGTGGTATCAAAAACTGCGGAAGATTCGACACTCGGCGGGAAATGGGTAGAGCGAGACAAAATGAAAAAATTAAAGAAAGAAAAAAAGAAGCACAAACATAAAGAGCATAAAAACTCCAAGCACAAGAAAAAATCTAAGAAAGAGAAGCGCTCGAAACATTAATTTCTGCTTATTTTTATTCATTAACAATTCTGAGCTTCATAATGTGAAGTGATTTTACGTTAAAATATATGTTAAAATAATTGTACATAAAGATGCCTGAGCTTCTATAACTTCACGCTCTACTAGAACCATATTATTTTATGATAAATTTCTTTCTCTCTTTCACTGTCTCTTTCCTAAAATATTTATACACTTATTTTTCTATACATATGGTAGATATAGCTGTAATATAAATTGAGAAAATATATATTTGATTTGACTTATATATATTTGAATGTCTTATGTGAATATAATTTAAAATCATTAGATAATCTTGAAGTTCAGAAAACAAAGGTTTTACATACTATATGTTAAATTTGTATAAAAATATTTTGTTCGTAGATGCTGCTGGTTGCACGAGACGCTCATTTTGATGATAAAATGTGGTAAAATTAATAATAAAAATTTAATTTTCTGATGCAAACGGTTTTAAAATAAATGAATAATTTCTAGGACACAACCAGTAACTTTATATGCTATATTTTCCAAATAATTGTGTATTACACTTTTATAAGGATATGTACATATGTTTTACACTCACTTATAATCATGCACGGATCGTTTTCGATTTGCGCGTGTTTTTCTGTGAAAAAATTACTTAAAGTGAATGAATTAAATAGAGACTACTTAGACTGGATATTAAAACGACATAGATGACATCGTGATTTAAGGATTAAATAAATCAACTGTGTACTCGAGATGTGCAGAAATACACGTATACATGTACATATGTTTCTATTCTTTGCGAAAATTTAAACGTAGATTCCTTATGTGGAATTTCCTATCTAATATTCATACCTGAATACGTACTCTAAACGTACATAATTTCATGCATACCTGATGCCGACTGTACTCTCTGATTATATCTAAAAACGAACTTGAGCAGTCTGCTTTTTTATTATATAGTCGAATGTAACGTTATATTTTTAGGAAAAAATAATCGCAATGTTTAGGTAAAGTATCAAGTCCTTTAGTAAGATCGCACATATGGGATTATTAATCTGATGTCATGGAATTTCTAGAAGCAGGTCTGCTGGAATTACTAGGTCCAGTTTTTTTCTCCACACTGAAATGGGAGGGAAGTACATTAACTTTATTAATGAATGTGTACATTTATATATATATATTTATTAAATTTTTTTGCATACCTGCTGCTTCTTGAACCTCTTTTAAATATAGCTGTTAATTTCGTCTTTAAATTCTTCTTCTCCATTTTACTGCTTTCATTGATGCTGGTTTCAGAACCAGATGTCTGTCAAATATTCGATTATTTTAATAAATATATATATATATATATATATATATATATATATATATTATGTTTTATTCGAATAAAAATAGTTCCAAATATTCAAATCTTTTCTTACCTGCAGCGAATAGTCGGTCATGTTTGGGTCATCTACGCTAGACGATTTAGTTAACTTGTGTGTTAATTTTCGTATTATTCCTTTACCATATTTTTTGTCTCGGTCTAACATTTCGCTCTTTGTTGATCCTCCAGAAAGACGACTAAACAATAATAAATTTTATTTAAGGAATACTTGTTATTTTATCAATGTTTCGCGCGTTCGAGGATAAATCCAATGAACTCGTATGAACCCAAAAATATGTATAATATAATTATAAAAAATATATAATATTAAATACCTGTCTACACTGGAATCTCTCTGCAAACTAGCTCCGCGAGAATCAATTTCTGATCCCTCCAATGATTGCATGCTCGACAAGTTGCTATCGGTGCCCCAAATAGCTGGAGACTAAAATTTTTGAATGCAAAAGTGAGTAATTATAATAAAAACCTTGGGAGTTTTAAAAATAAATTATATTTTTTAAATTATAATTTTATAATGGATATTGCAAATGAAATTTATTTTAGATTTAAATAAAATTATATTTAGAATCGAAATTTTGCTCCATATAATTATAAAAAATTATACAACTAATGAAGGTAAAAATTATATTTGTATAAAACACATTTATTTCATACAAAAGAATTATTTTTCATATTTCATAAATTTTTTTGTTCTATATGAAACAGCCTATACTCACTTGCTGACGTCCAGTTGTTTGTTCCAAAGAGAGACTCTTTCTTTTTAAACGTGGTTTAGAGCGATTCAAGACCACTCCTTTTCCTGGATCGCTCTCTACTGACGTTGATCTATAGCAACAAGATAATAATTTTCGTGTTCTTGATAGTTTCCAAGAGAAATTTGATATGAAACTACAAAACTCACCTCTTTCCCATTTTTTTCAATCGCGTTGAATTAGTTTCATCTGCCATTTTCTTCGATTCTTTAAGTTCCTTCGCTACGTCCATTAATTTTTTGATGGTGTATTCTAATTTCTCTGTTCTTTCTCCGAGTATTGGAGTGCCTACTACAAACATTTATATAATTTAAAACGATATGTACAAATGTTAAAATTCAAACAAATTATTTATATTATTGATGAATACCTTTTACGTCGTTCTTCATTTCCAACATTGGTGATGATTCTCTTGATTTTGGTCCCTGAAAAATATTAGAGAAAGATAATTTATTATTTTTTATATTTTTATCGATTACAAAAAATATTAATTATATTATTATTATACAAATGTTCATATCTTATACCCTTAATCGTCTCGGCGGAGTTGGTGTATATGCATCGGATGTTCCGTTCTCTGTTATAGTATTTAATTCAGGGAACAATTGTAGCAAATCTTGAACTTGTTGCATAAGAATATTAATGTTACGCAGCTCAGTTTGCTCCAATTTGCACTTGGTCAATATCACTTCTTTGAGTTCGTGTCTTTCTTTCTCATGCCGCTCTTTCTCGCGTCTCATTTTTTCATTGCTCGTTCTTAATTTTGCGTGCGCATCCCTCAGCTCAAGTAGATCGCATTGCAGCTAGAATCGATTGCAGTCACGATTAAGAAAATAAGAATTATGGCCTCTATATTTAATAGATCATTTAAAATTATACCTCTAGTAATTTTTTCTTATTTTCTTCTTTTTCTTCATCGAATACTTTCTTTAATTGATCTTGTCTCCTTTTATTTTCAAGACGTTCTTTACTGCGCTCTCTCTCTATCTGTAAATTAGCATCCGTAGAGATGTAAATAAAAAGTTTGCGAATGGACTATATTATCTGATTTATGCATTAAATTGCTAATCATTACTTCAAACAACGTTTGCCGCAAATCTCGCGCTAGCGTTGCCGTTTCCTGCAGCAATCTTTGATGTTCTTCTCTCTCTTTTTGCCAAGCTAACTCCATTCGCACTTTCAATCCTGGAATTTTCGAACGTCCGCTGGTGAGTAATCGCTCCTCCTCCAACTGCAATTGCAAGAAATAAATGTGAATATAAGCAGACTTGCAAATATATTATTCGCATCTACTAAATTTTTAATTACCTCATTAATTCGAGATTGCAATTCAGAGACTTTAACGTGACTCCCAGATTTTTCCGAAACTAACTCGGCCTTTAGTCTGGAGGCTTCCAATCTTGTTTCAGAAAGTTCATCTTCCATGCAACTGATTTGTTTTTCTAATACTAACACATTAGCCCTTGATGATTCTTCATCCTTAAAGAATAGGCATACATATATAATTGAATTAATTATTAAATTTTTACAAATATTATGTAATATATTTTATATAATATTTCATAAATTTATATAAATTAAATTGATAATAGTTAATGTTATGTTAATATGAAAAAATAATTTTTTTCCATCACGAAAAGAATAGTCAATATTAAAACATTTATAATAACTACAAATTATTATTTAGCTCGTCAGAAATTTAAACAAATTAAGAAAAAACAAAAGGCAATTACGAGCAATCACAAGATGTTGAGTGTGTAAATGTAAATTTAGTATATATTTGAGTGAACGTTTCGGTTCTTTCTTTGAACCATCTTCAACACAAAATACAATTTAAAAATTATAACTAATACATATATTATCGATCGGTCGTTACAAAATTATAATATATTTTGTAACGATCGATCGATAATATATGTATTAGTTATAATTTTTAAATGGTATTTTGTATTGTTGAAGATGGTTCAAAGAAAGAACCGAAACGTTCACTCAAATATATACTAAATTTACATTTACACACTCAACATCTTGTGATTGCTCGTAATTGCCTTTTGTTTTTTCTTAATTTATAATAACTTTAACGCAAGATACACAAAAGTATCTTAATGTTAAATTGCATCGTTAGGTATTAACCTCGTCTGATTTTCCAGAGGACGCATTGGATAATCTGCCTTGTCTCGTTGTCTGCTTTAGCTCGCCTATAGTTTTTTGCGCGCCTTCCAACATGTGTTTATAAGTATCACGCTCGCGTTTATATCGCGATAATTGATTCTGGATTGCTTGTATCTCATCATTGATCGCCGTAATCCTGTGCTCGTAGCGCATTTTACATTGCGCTAAGTCTGCCTTTTTGGCTTTTTCCGTATTTGTCAGGGCATTCTTTAATTTTCGGATTTCGGATTCCAGTGCCGTAGTATCGGGTGTTAATACTTGATGAATTTTTGATACTGCTTCGTAATCTTTCAATTTTGCAGACAAGTCGTCGTTCTACAAAATTATATAATTATATAAATTATATAAATACAAAATTACATAAATTCTAAACAATTATATAGATACAATAATAGAAAATTATATTTATAAAATAAGTATAGGAGAAAGAAACAAAATTTATAGAAAAAAAACAAAAAGGTATGATAATAGAATGATACAGTTCTATACATTCTCGAAGTAACGAGAAATTAAATACGTACTTACCATTTTCCTTATATCTTCCAACCGTTCCAATAAAGTGGCATTTTCTTTCTTTAATGTATTAATTTCATTATTTAATTCTGCCACAATAACTTTATTCGGTAACTGATTCTCACGAATTTGGCTCTAAAATTATAAATCAAAGGAATGAAATTTTCGAAAAAGATTTGTAGTAATTTATAGATTTAATAATCGATAATAAAATATACTTCTAGAGCAGATTTTTCTAATCGCCACTCGTTTTCTCTCGTTTTTATTGAATTACGTAATTCATCAAGTTCTAATTGAATACTTTTTAGATCCTTTTTACACTCTGAACATTTGCTAGAATAAAACGTAAGATTAAATGAAGAAAGTCACACGAAGCATTTAATATTGTTGACAGTAAATTCTTACTCCTCACACAGTTAGTGTCGAATTGCTGTTTACCTATTCAAAGATTCATTTTCTCTTTCAAGTTGTAGCTTTGATTTCATAAGGTCTTGATATTTTTTAGTTAGAGTCTCTTGATCTTGTTGTTGTTTTTTAATGTCATTCTCGAGATCTGAAAATTTTATCACATTATCTCCATATGATTTTAAAGGACTAATTCAGAAACAAAGAAATAATGAAAAAATAAAAATTAAAAATAAAATATTTAATATAATATTTTTTTGATACTGTACTCAAAATTTTCTCATTGTAAGTCTGTTTCATCTCATTCATGCGCTTTGTATTTTGTCCGGCTTTTTCTAAGGAAGCTATCTTTTTCTTGAGCGCTTCTATTTCGGTTTCTTTCGCTTCTTTCTCACTGTCAAGTTGTGATGTTAATTTTTCACTTTCCTGCTTAAGTGCCGCAATCTCTGCATTTAAATCCGTGATTTTTGTTGATGTAGTAGATTTTGAATTCTCTAATTCCTTCTTCAAACGTTTCACCTCAGCATCGAGTTTAGTTTTTGCCTGTTCCATCTATTTTTACCGAAAACATAAAACTCGATCAAGATATATGTAAAAGGACATATATAAAATAATAATTAAAAATTTAATGTACTATAAGAAAATATTAAAAATATATATTAAAATAAAAAAAAATAAAATATACTTACAGATGTTATAGATTGCGACATTTTCGTCTCTCTTTCGGTATACGATGATATATCATTCTGTAATCGTTTACACTTTTCTTGTTCTTGTGATAGTTTTTCTTTTATTTCATTTATTATTTCTTCCATCTTTGCAGTATTTTTTTCCGACGACTTAGCAATTTCTATATTTAAAAAATCATGTTATGTATTTATAATTTATATATATTTTATATAATTAAAATTATATATAATTTATACATAATTAAAATTTATATATAATTAAAATTATAATGTAAGCTTACCGATGTCTTTTTTCAGTTGTACAACCTCGTTATAAATTTTTAATTTCTCGGCTGATAGCGATAAAAGTTTTGATTTCAATTTTTCCTTCTCTTCCAAAAGAGCCAATTTTTCTTTATCCCACGCTTTTCTTTCAGTTTCCCGTAAAGTGACTGCTTCATCTAACTTCTTTTTCACTGTAATAGAATTTAGAAATTAAATACATTTAATCATCTCGTATATAATTTTAATTGATAGATGTACCATTTTGTAAATCCAAATTTTTAGTATCTTCTTTTACATTTGATTGAACTTTTTTCTTTTCTTTTTCACTGGCTAATTCTTTCACAGCAGATTCGAGTTTTTCTTTAAGGAGTTCATGTTCCTTTAGAAGTTTATCGTACTTTAAATTATTATTATCTTTTGATTTCATATCTGGTATATCTACATTATGTCCATTTTTAATGTTGGAGAAAATATTCAGCATGTCTTCTAAAGTATTGATAATCGTTTGAAATATTAATATAAAATGTGTTTAATTTTAGCGAAATTTATAAAAGTACAACAAACCTATTTCCTTTTCCATTTCGTCAACCATCTTTTTGAGTTGCATTTTTGTTGTGGTATCTGTTGCCTTCTTTTGCGTTCTTTCCTGGAATGCGTTACTTACTTTCTGCAGAATTTCTTCTGTTTTCTTCATCTAAGGTAAATAGAAATATTTTACATGCAGTATAAATTTATAATCTCTCTTTAGTGAATATATTTAATAATATGTTTAATATTTAATATATTTAATATTTAATAATATGTAGGACACAAGAAAAATTAATCATTATATATTTTTTTTTTTAAATATTAATAGAGTATAATATTTCTTTAGTTTTTTATATATTATATTTACCTCTTCATATTTCTTCTCTAGAGCGGATCGTTCGTTTTCTAATTCTTCAGATTTGCGTTCTACTTTCCTCAGTTTGAACGATAATATTCGGCAATTTTTGTTTGATTGCTCCAAACTTTTTCGCAAACGGGTATACTCGTCTGCTTGTTCGTCCCTTATGTACGAAAATTATATTCGTATAAATAACATATATTGCACTGCAATGTATGCAGTATAATCATTGGGATTTGATTGGCATTTAAGTATCTCTGTTCCTTATAAACGCGCGCATGAAAGAAATGTTATATAAAATTTATCAATGAAAAAAAAAGTATAACATTTCACATAGAGTTTTATTTAAGAATCCTAAAAAATCTTGTGAAATTTTAATGTAATTTTCTCAATATCTCTTCGCTTAGACTTCTTTTGCGTCTCGTTCGCAAAAAATAAATGTGATCCCACAAAAAAAGCAATAAAAGCAATAAAAAATTTATAAATTTTATATAAGCTCGATTACCAAACAAGGATACCCCCACGGTTCCGTATTTGACGAAATACAAGGGTGTCGTCGTGTTAGGATCACATACGTCGCAAATCTGTCTGCAAATCGTCGTCCTGCAACAATCCATATAGCTCATTTTGCAAAAGATTTTGATCCTTTTGTTCGAGACACATCTTATTGTCGACATATAAATTTTCAAATTTTTACATGAAATAATTCAATTTTATGCAATATTATTTTGCATTTTTCCGTGTATAAAAATGTTTGTGTGAATAAAGATTTTAGAACAGTAAAAATCTTGTTGCAAAAATGATATACAGCAATAATTTTCACCAAAAGGAACAGAGATACCGATTTTGATAAATATATAAGAAACAATGTTAAAAACTCTGAGTTAACAGAATCATTCAATTTATAGCAATAACGAGAGAGTCGTACTTCATAATTAGTTCGAATAAAACATTGTCAACATATTAGTCACTATAAATCAATATAAATCTTGTAATACCAAAAATTGCCGTTGTTATAGACGATAATTTTAAAACAAAATTAAAGCCATATAATATTTTTATTAAAATGATTTATGCCTTACACATATCATAAAATAACATATATAATATCTCTTTAATGAAGTAATGTATAAAGATGTATGAAATAATGTTATTAAATGTAAAATTAATACAGGGATTGTAATTTTCTGAAACAGTACAACAAATAACATGCATAATACATCACAAAGCGGAATATAGTATAGGATAGTAGGATACCTAATGGTATTTTTTATAGCGCAAAAAAATGTAATACCTAAAATTATCCTGCAATTCATAAATCTCTTCTTCTAATTGTCTAATTTCCTTTTTCATATCTTCGTTTTCGTCCATTAAACTTTCACAAAGGTTTTCTGCCGCCTTAAGTTTCGAACGTAATTCGTCATGCATTCTGTCCTTTTCACCCCTGTACGGTTTACCAATCGTTTCCTTCTCCAAATTTTTTATCTTTGTCAGTAATAAATTTTTTTCTTGTACAAGCACTAAAATACGAATATGATATATAATGATTAAATTTAAATAAATTTAAATAAATACAATAAATGCAATAAGGGATATTATTTTATAACGAAAAAGAATTTTTTTGTTTAACATACTTTCTACAAAATTGAGAAACTAATACCTTCGTTTTTCTTTTGTAGTTTTGCCACTTCACTCGTTGATGTTTTGTTCGACATCGTCTCCATAGTCGCCAATCGACGCAGCAACATCTCGCTTTTTTCTTTCTCCGCTTTCTCGCATCTCGCTCTCATATCATTTAATTGGGATTTTAATTTCTCTATCTCATTCTGCGAGAGGTAAGCATAGTCATTAATTATGTTATTTGCATATCTAATTGTATTTAATCCTCTCGGTTCTGACTTTTATATATATATAATCTATATAAATATATTTCATATAAAAAGTCATATAAAAAGTGTAATGTAAATATTGTATAACGATGGTTTTGTCAGTAATTCAATACATTTTTATCGGGTGCATTCTTGTATATGCGCAAAATTATTTTCTATCACATAAAGAAGTCAGATTTAAAAGAAGATTAAAAATATATTTAATATGTAAATATATTATCATATACGTAGAGATTTCGAAATTTTTTTTGTAACTTATTTTATATTATATACAGAAACGTAACTTTACGATTGCACAGAGAGTTAATATCTGATTAAGTTAATTAACATTTGAATAAATTGTATTTAGTGCATTTAGTAAAAGTTTCTGATGTTTATCAGAGCAAGATTATCAAAAGTCGATTAATCGGAAGAAGATGATCGCACGTGCTTCATAAATGACAACATTATGAAGTTGATGTATATACAAGTGCATACAGTGATACACGTTGGACGACATATATTATAATTATTATTTATCGCAATAATTTGTGTACATTAAATAACGAGAGCGATAATTGTCTCACCTTCTCGGATTCCTCTCCTTTTACCATGACATTATCCAGGCCATCCTCAACCACCTGTTTTGGCGGTGCTGGCCGTGATTTCTTTACCTAAAGTATGATAAATGAGAGCGCAAAATGGAATCTTATATTTGCTCACTTTTATCATTGAATGTTACTATACTACCGTCTGCTGTACAATTAAGTCGGTATAAGACATCTTCACATAAAAAAGAAGTTTACAAGCGTGCGTGTGTTTTATTGCGACAAAAAACATTCTCCATGCACTAATGGTTTAAGTAACAAAGAGATACCTGAATTATAAACTCTACATCATTATCCGAAGTGCCTTCGTTGTTGCTTATTACATTTTTTATCTGAAGCTTTGCTGGTTTTCTAACATCTGTAACAATAAAATTCAAATTAACATAATTTAAATATTAACATAATTTAAAAATCTGATTAGAAATTTAATTATTAAAATTTTCCAACATTAATTTAATATATTATTATCCATATTTCGTTTTTATTACTTTCTAATTTGGGAGCATCTTGGGTATCCTTATCTATGGCAGAAAGATCCATCAAAGATGTCCATCCGGTTGTCGTCGCTGATTGAGAATAGTTATTCTTGGTTTCATCTTTCGCCAAATTAGTAGCGGAAGACCACGTCCTTTTGCTCTCGGCGCCGCTTTAACATTTATTTGTGATAAGAGTTAATCCGAAATATAAAATAAAAATTTTTTAAATATGTCATAAGATATTAAAATATTCAAATTTCGAGTAACATGTTGATAACAGATGTGCATTATATAAGAATAAGCATTTTATCCAATCTATGACGACAGAACTTACCGCGATGAATCCAAAGAAAGACTAGGGGAAGAAGATGTGATGTCTCCGAGACTGTTTCTTCTCCCGCCATGCTCTTTATAATCTCTAAAGATCAATTCGAGCATATAATTTAAAATACACATTTTATCTTAATGTTTTGACTTTTGAAAATAATTACCTAAAACATCGTTTGCAACGCGTTGGCCACCGTACTTGTGGATGAAAACCCAAAGGGCAAAGAGGATCGCCTTTCTTAGACGAATACATGGAGTGCATTCTGTGTACAAACGTTTTTCTTCAATTATTTTCTTATATCATCTGCACTTAAAATTACACGAATATATATTTATATTTTCGAGTAAAAAAAGTGTAAGAAAAAGAATGTTTAATTATCTCTATAATAATTAACCCAACAGAAAAATATCTTTCATGCTAGTCTCTAAAGCTACTTTAATACATATATATTTCTATTTTTCTTATCTATCAATAATATTACTTAAATACGCGCGCGTGAAAAAATAATTATCAAAATAATTATAAAAACATGAAAAAAATTTATATAAAAGTAAAATATTTTAATTTCTTTTAAGCACTTTTATCGATAAGATATTTTCTTATGTATATTTATTTTTTAATTCCGTTACATGATACGCTGGATTGAATAATATTGTTTACAGAAACACAATCAAAGAAGAGCAAAAAGGAAAAAAAATTGTAGCACGTGAGAGGCAAATGTAAATACAATCGATTGACGTCACAAGATACATTCTCATCAAAAAAGAAAAGTAATTTTGATAAATTTACCGATATGGATTGTCTTTTAATTCTTACTCTCTTATTCTTAGCTTATGTTTGCACAAATATCTAAAATTACTGGTGAATTTAAAAAAGAATCCAAAGTAAGAATCATGCATGTTATACATCGTTATATTGACATTACCCAGGTAGAACATGAAACTTATAATGGTATCATTATAACGTTATCATGATTTTATTTATCATTTAAAAGTCACCTAGGTCACTAGGTAAAAAATAAAGATAAAAATATATAATATCGTTATGTTGATATTAACATAAAGATAAAAAAATATCATAAAAATTATTTTTTTATCTTATCTAATTATTTTTTTATCTTATAAAAGTCTGAAATTATTAAATTCATATTGTTTTAAATTTTCACTAAATTATAATCTTGAAAAATATAATACTATTGTTATAAAATAAAAGTTACTAATATGAAAAATTATATGAAAAAAATGATTTTAATTATCGAATTTTCTTTGCTAGAAAGACGAACTGTACTGTCTCATCTTCGCATATTTTTTGCAATGCATACATAACAGGAATGGCACTTGGAGAATTATATACCTGCGGTTTATTGATCAAAGTTCAATACTATGTTTTTTCTCTTTTTTCAATCTCTTGTCTACATAAAGCAAAGAATAAAAAGTCGAGAAGGATAAAAAAGACATCATGAAGAAAACATCACATTGATCGCGATCGCGATCTATATCTCTCTTACGCAATCTTTGTACAATTGTACATTGTACTACTACTTACTGGATAGGTATCGATATTAATCCACAAATATAGCGGACCCGACGTGAATGAAATTTATCTTAAGTTATGCTGATCGATCGGTCAGAAATGGAGATTCCTCAGAATTGCTTCCATTCTGAATGAACACGGTAATCCCATCATATTTGCGTAATCGGGCAACACTCGCATCGTTTAAGACAGTCTCTCTCGCAATCTCGTTCTTCCTTGAAAAAAAGAGAAAATTCGCCTCTATTCGCGGATCTTATGCATTTCTTCTCTTTTTTACGCGTTCGCGTAAGATTCTTATGCCACGTACATCACTAATAGCACTGACACAGCTCCGCTATTACGGGTTTTATCCGTAGCCGAACTAACTGTGTGCGGGTATATTTTGGACATATGCCAAAATGTATATTTATCTCTAGCTATAAATATAAGGAAGCAGCAAAATACATTCAAAACTATGCACGCGTCTGTGTATATGCGTTTATATATGCACGCGTATCTGCGAAGCAAAATTTTCTCTATTCAATTTTTCACTTTAATTGTGCGAGCAAAAACACTGCCACGATTGAACTTGGAAGTCAACAATTTGAATTTTTGTTATTTTAGTTCTATTATACATAAGAAGGTGATATATCGCGATTATTCATTCGAAAAATTGCCAGATTTTTCCTTTTATCTATCTTAAAAGAATCTGTTATATTAAATGTATATTTTAATATAACATATGCACACATTAGATGTCATTTTTTGAGATTCAACCTCGGATTAATTAACTGATCAATTCTATTATATTATATATATATCTGTAAATATGGATAAATTTATCATAATGAGTTTTCGATAATAAATATGTACCATTTACTATTTACTTACCTTAATCTAATTTTACTAATGACTTTTTTACATAATCAAGAATGTTAATATTATAGTACGGAAAAGGAAAAATAGCATCGTATAATCATCGTAATCTATGAATAATTAAATACGTAGTTAATATTATAGTACAGAAAAGGAAAAATAGCATCGTACAATCATCGTAATCTATGAATAATTAAGATAAATAAATAATTATATTAATAAAATACTTTCACGAAAATTATTATTTTTAAGGTAAAAGGAATAAAATGTATATTCGAAACGATGAAAAAAAAATATATAACGAAAATATATATAAGAAAAGATCAAAATAAAAACTACTTATTTTTATCAACTTTTATTAATATACCATTTTGAAATATTTCGTCGATGTTACATCGTACAAAAAATATAATATACCTATATAAACAGTAATAATTAATATATTTATTGTAACACCTTATGATTAAAATGATTAATACATATATCGAATGTATATCTTAATATTTCGCATATGTTATGTCACTTATCCTTTAACCACTTTAATACAAAGAGAATTTATTGCACACTGTTGAAATTTATTTTTTACTAAATTTGAAGACTTTAATAAAAGATATTTTTATTTTGCCCTTGATTTTATATTTTCATACAGGTTTATAAGAGAACTATAAAACTAAATTTTTCTTTACAATGTTTATTAAGCCCACATCTGTTTTTTTCCCGATGTATACAAAAATGTATTATCTCTATCTATAAAATATTCCATACTCCTTTATAATATATCTATAAAATATTCCATACTCCTTTATAATTGCATTAAGAAATAAAAATTTCTAATGATTATGGAATGCTAAATTAAAAAGTTAAATTGCTCCATAAAACGTATTTGACAACTAATTATTCTATCTTAACATAAGTCGTTAGTTGTAAAAAAATATTTGATTGTATACAACCAATTATTAAACAAATAATTGTGTCTTTTTTTATACAGAGATCTTTCGTATTTTAAAAATTTATTTACAATAATACATAAAAGAAATTATATATACATATATAAAATCTTTTTTACAATAACAATGTAAAAGAGATTTTATATATATATATATATATATATATATATATATATATAAATTTCTTTTATGTATTATTGTAAATAAATTTTAAAAATATGAAGAATATATGTATCATTAGTTAATTCAATTATCTATTTAATAGAAACGTATATATATATATATGAAATAAAATTTTATATTTGAAAAATATTTTTTTGCTCGAAAGGTTTTTCAAAAAGTTATCTAAAATAACAAAATTATCTAGAACAAAAATTATCTAGAACAACAAGTGAAATTTAATTAACAAATCAATTCATTTATATTGCTTATGATGCATTTATATAACTGCGTTCATGATAAATATAAGTGCATCTTAAGGAATGACACTGCAATTATATTATACTTCTTGCAATACATAGCTAATTCGAGAATAATTGAGCTGAAAAACAAAGTATAAAAAATTATTTATACAATTAAAAGCACATATACATTTATATTGGCTAATCAGTATCTAGATGTGAAGTCTTTGCATTTGATCTTAATTCGAAGTATATAAGTTACTTTTTTTCTCTCTCTTCATCTCTCTGTACAATCTTCAAAAATTCTGGAAAAATTAATTTTTATTTGAGCAATTCTCTAAAATTTATTACAAATTCGCACAAGTATGCAATATTATGTTATCTTAATGTATATTCATCTGTCACAACATAAGATACATATTTCAAAAATACCCAGACAGCACACATGTCCAAAAGACATCTAAAAGACTACTTAAAGACGTCTTAAAGTCCTTTAGACGTCTTTAAGACGTCTTTTGGCCTTTTTGTGCTGTATGGGTATATTACAAAATAAAAATGTTGAATTAAAGAGAGAATTTATGTATGCTTATATATCTTGATTATATCCCAGAGATTGTATATATTTGTATGTATATATTGTACTGAGATTATTACATGCAAATATCATGCATACGAGCATATAAAAATGCTCAAATAATTTTATTATTAATGTATCATAATAATAACTTTGTATCTATCAATATGTACAAAAGATTGTCTTATCTCTTTATTCCGATTAAAGTTTTATCGGAAATTCAGGTGTGTCATATTATTACATTCCATATAATTACAGATCGTGAATATGAAATTCTCGATAAAAACTGTCAGTTTTGATAGCCAAATAGAGTGGAAAAGATAAAGCACACAAGATATGTTTTGTGCTTCGCAATTATACGCATGTTATTTTAACAAATTTCGCATTTCGTACATCTTACAATTTTGAACGAAGCAAATCAATTTTCTTAGCGGCACGTTTTTGCAAATCAGGCAATTTCATAGCGAGCCCCATGTTTCCTTGAATCTTGACTTTTCCTTGGAAGAAAGCTTTTTGTGGATTCAATTTCCCAGAGATAAAGTCGACAATGTCGGTGTCACTAATCGTAAATGTAACTTCGGGTTTAATTTTACTATTATACTCGACTTTTCCTTTGCCTGTTTTAGCGTCCACGACCCAATATCCTTCGGCACCACCGGGGCCATTTATAACTTTAAATCCGTAGATGCCGCGCACTTTGTCGATTAGACCATCCTCGTCCTCTTCCATCGCAATCGCCAGCAACTTGAACAATACGTTTGCTTTGAATACGCTTGGGTCAGCGGATATATTCACGTGTTTCCTGACTAACGCCTGTTTCGGAAAACCTAAGCGATAAAGACCTACGATGACCGCACCGCCTAAACCAATATTATGTTGCAGTGCCAATCTTGCGCCCTGCACTTGTCTCTTGCCGGCCTCGCCCCGAAGCTGCCAGCAAAGTTCGGAGCATTGAGCTAATCCTGTAGCACCTAATGGATGTCCCTTTGAGATTAAACCTCCGCTAGGATTCACGACGTACTTGCCACCATAGGTGTTGTTTCCAGAGTCCACCATCTTGCCGCCCTGTCCAGGAGGACACAATCCCAAAGCTTCATAAGTAATCAACTCATTTATGGAGAAGCAATCATGTAACTCTATCACATCTACATCGCTCGGTTTGTAATTGGTCGATGCAAAAACTTTGTCAGCTGCATTTTTTGTCATGTCATACCTATAAAATATTATAATTGCAAATTAGTAGAACTTATTATTTGTCATGCTACTTAGAATGTCAAGTGTTTTCATTAAATTAATATTGAATCGTTTCTATTACGTACCCGATAATATTCAAGCACGATCGAGTGGTAAACGTTGAAGGTTTATCAGTGGTCATTTCCATAGCTAGAATTTCAACAGCTTGCGACTCTAAATGATATTTTCGAACAAACTCCTCATTAGCCAGAACGACAGCTGCTGCACCATCAGAAGTAGGACAACATTGGAGCTTTGTCAACGGTCCAAATACTTTTGGAGAATTCACTATCTCCTCATAAGTATACTTTTTTTGAAATTGCGAGTAGGGATTGTTTACAGAGTGCAAATGATTTTTATATGCAATCTTTGCAAAATGTTCAGGCTTTGTGCCATATTTTTGCATATGTTCAATTCCAGCATTACCAAAAAGTTGAGCAGTCATGGGATCATTGGAAATACCTACAATCAAACGTGAAATACATAAATTATCAAGTATTATGCTACTTTACTTTTTAGGAACCTATAACTCACCTGCAATATCTGCCATCAGCTCAACGTGTTTATCCATAGGATTTGTACGATCCAGGTATTTCGCCGACAATGAGCCACGCTCCATCTTCTCGAATCCAAGTGCTAGCACGCAATCGGCATTCCCAGCCTCGACAATTTGCTTGCCGAGATAGAGAGCGGTGGAGCCGGTTGAACAATTGTTGTTGACATTGTAAATGGGACATCCACTGAGGCCGACCTCGTAGATCGCCCTTTGACCACTAGTGGAGTCACCGTAGACGTATCCAACGCAGACGGCTCGGACATTTTCGTAATTTATATGCGCATCCTGTAAGGCCTTGGTCACAGCCTCCTTCGCCATTTGCGGATAATCGAAATCCTCTCTCCGACCGGGTTTCTCGAATTTGGTCATCCCGACACCGATCACGTATACCTTCGGCTTATGCACCATCTTGACTATTTTTCTTTCTCCTTCTGGCCGAGAAACACGAAATGCACGACGAATACGAGGGATACACACAAGGAATTTCTACCGAATAAGAGCAAACGCAGGCGAAAGTGTCACGCGATTTCTTTCTGCGTCTCAGATCGCGAAGGAACGGGAAAGTAAAAAATTGACGACGTAGACGTAGCAGCTGTACAACTGGCGGAGATTTGCTGCTCGACGAGCTGAAACACTTGCGCCCGTTGGACTTTAATCCTTTATAAAAAAAATTGCGATATTGCAATGACGAAGCTATTTCAATTATTTCTTGCTTGTAGCAACGACTAATATCACTCGCTTCGACTTCGACACGATCCGCGCTCAAATGACAGGCCAGATACTAGATCGGCCACCTTCGGAGTTCGGAGGGACTTGTTATATACGGCACTTATCCGCACGAAGCGCTAGTATCTGGCTGGTATGTGCCAATCACAGTCCAAATGTTTGATAAGCTCTTGTGTAAAAATGATTGCGTTCAAGGAAAAGCTACTTTGCAACTGTTGTGAAACTTGTTTGCAAAATTCGTGAATCTGATTGATGTATGCTCTTAGATTCAGTCAAAATTAAGAGCATACACCGATCAGGCTCACAAATTTTACAACAATTGCAAAGCAGCTTTTTCTGCTAAACGCAGTTAGAAAAAAAATACAAAATACTAAAAATACAAAATACAAAATACTAAATACTTGTGCGATACATGAAGCTTTTATCAAATATATTTTTATTATTATTTTGTAAAGCACATAATGTTGCGTTTGTCTCTACAAGAATATTTAAAGAATTATAAATTGATAATTTCATCTCTATGAAATTAGCCCCTTATTCTTCAAATTTGAAAAAAATTATTATTAGAGTTCTGGGTGCTCCCCGTAGAGTTCTAAACTCTTCATATTTTGAAAATTATTTACAAAATTAATGATGACAGTACCTTTACAAAAATAAAGCACTAAAGAAAAATATTTATTTCATCTTTAAATATTATAGTATCTTTCGCGATTGAATAATTTATTTACTATATCAATTTACATACATAAGTATCTAATTGTTATACAGCACTGGTGCTACCGGCTGTACCGGCATTTCGTGCACATAGCACGGAACAAAACCAGAAATTGTGCACATTATATATTACCCTCTGAGAACATTCATGGACATTGGCTTTGTAGTTCATGTCCATGTTTTCAATGTTCATAGAGGAAGTATCGTTTTCAGGGATCACCTAAAAGCAGGCCATGACACTCTCAGTCTTCTCTCTGGTTTCAGACAAGAATTGGAAATTCCATTTTTCCCGCCAATTCGCAACTTCGATCAGAAGGCACAACCATAATCATTAAAGAATTCAATATAAATATCATTATCTTTTAATAAAAATATTTTTTGTATTGTTTAGACATGTAATCACTTGTTGTTAAAATTTTGGAAAGATCGATTTTATTTTTAATTTTAAAGAAATTCTCAAAGTTCACCTTATTTTCAACGTTCTAAAGAACCCCCTCTTAAATTACGGAACTCTTTCTTAAATGGATTGGGAACTCTAGAACTCTATAGAGGGAGGAAGGGGGGAGTATCCAGAACTCTAATAATTTTCTTCAAATTTGAGAGGGCCAACTTCACAGAGGTTATAATTTTCCTGTTTTACATTTGATGGGAATAAATAAGGAGAGATATATAGCGGATTTAACTGAAAATACTTATATATACATATAATATACATATAATTCAATAATATATACATACAATACAATAATATATACATATAATACAAATACATATAATACAAAAACTTATATATACATATAATACAAAAAAAAATATATTATTTAAAAATTGAAGTTTTCTCAAATGTGCATTTTTTCAGAAATAAAAATCATCGATGTTAATAATATACATATTAATAATTTACAAAAGGTATATAAAAATAGACTTTGTCTATCTTATCAACTTCTTTTCATAGTTAAATTTATTCGTTCTTCTGTCGTGACTAAAAAAATTATTATTAATATCGCGTGCGCAATGGCGTAGGACGCTCGAAATGTCTACGTCGCTGGATCGGGCTATCGCGCCTCGCGCCGGCCATTGCGCGGTCGTGTTTTGAGCGAAAAGATGGCGGACTCTTGTTTTCAAGATCGCTCGCACACTCGGCACGTCGGGACGCACGACTGGCAGGCGTTACTTTGAAAAGTATTCACGCGCAAAAGTCGACGTGCCGCACGCGCGACAGTCGCGGCCGCGGTGAAACGTCAATTGTGACAGATCGCGTATGCGATACCCGCGTCGCCGTCGTCGCTCATCTCGGCGTCCTCGAGTCGAGACCCGAGTCGGCCCGAACGAAGCGCGCAGCTCGCGAGTTCCACGGGGATTTGTTCGAATTCAGGGTGCTGCGGGATTATTTTCGCGTCCCGCCGACGCGAAGCGAAGATGGAGTCGAGTCAGTGAAGTGGTCGCGCGCCATCGCGGGTCTCTCTAACCCTCGCCTTCCCCCCCTCCCCGGTCCCCGTTGTCGTCCCCCCCTCGCCCCCGTTCCTAACCGTGTGTTTACCGCTCGCCTGCTACGGTGCGCGATTTGGTTAGGTTGCTCGGGTAAACCTTCCTACACTTGGTTTCTATGATACACCGAAACGTCGTCGCGCGTGTTCCTCGCGGTGGTTTACGTTACAATGTGACGCGCTGCGCCGATTTCTGCGAACTGATGATCATTGAGTAACACCCTCGCGATGGCAAACAGCGATTTCGACGTGGAGCTCTTCGAGCGAAGGCTCCATACACTGAAAGACTCTCAGGAGTCTATACAAGGGCTCTCTTCGTGGTGTCTGGAGAGAAGACAGCATCACAAAAAGATCGTTGCCACTTGGTTGCAAGTTTTGAAAAAAGGTAAACTCGTATAAGCTTTTCCAATTTTTACTCTTGTGTATATCAATCTTGGATAAGTCAATTTCTCGTTTGTCAGATGGTGGTTTTCATATAACTTGATTAGTTTAGATAAGCTTTAATTTTGAGGTGTGTAATTTATATAAATGTGTAAAATCTATTCTCTTTTTCATGCGTAACAGTAAAAGTTGAACACCGGCTCACATTGTTCTACCTGGCGAATGATGTTATTCAATATTCGAAACGAAAGAATTTCGAATTTGTGGAATCATGGGGCACTACTTTGCAACGTGCAACAACTATGGTTCGTGATGAGAAAGTAAAGCATCGTATACTGAGAATCTTCAAGATTTGGGATCAACGGCAAGTCTATGATGAGGAGTTTCTTGCTGATTTGTCTGGTTTAATTTCGGCTGCGCCAAAAAAGAAATTGGAACCCCAGCCAACTACGCAATCCGAAGAGTTTCAGGCCGCTTTGCTGATCTCTACTATGAGATCTTGCGCGACTCTGGAACAAGCAACCGATGCCAGACTTCGTGACTTACGGGAAAGTAACATTGATATAGAATCTGCAGAAGAGTTACGTGCGTCGTTAAAGGATAGAAGGCGCATGGAAGATGCAGAGAAGGAAATAGATTTGGTTGCGAGAAATGTGGAAAATTATGTTCGTTCGTTAGAAGCAGAGATTAGAGAAAGGACACAAGTGATTGAGTTATTGGAGCAAGCGGATCAGTTTTATGAAACTCAACGTGGGGAGGTTAAAATAGTGACAAATGTAAATATTAGATTTTGCAAAAGAATTTTAAATACCAATAATTTGTTATACATATATAGTATGCATTGTTTTATGAATAGGCATACCGGAATTTTGGTAGTCGTGTGAAAAATTTGAAGAAAAAATTGGACGAACTGCTACCGACATTCGTCTCACCAATACCATCGCCAGACGTGAACGCACCCTCGCCGAGTCCCGATAGCGATATAGAACTTCCAGGAGACGAGTCTCAGGCGGCAAATAATCAATTGGGAATAATTGACGTAGCACCACCAACTATTTATGGTTCATATTCTCATGAATATGATCCTATACCTGTACCTGCACCTGACTTGGTACAAGGCAACGAGTCAACAGACTTCACCAATTTTCGCTCTTTTATAGGAGGAAATATGGATTTTGGTACTATGGTGAGATAGAGCATTAATTATGAATATATTATTTTATAAAATATGGAAAGATTGATGATTGCACTAGATACATTGTTGTAGATATGTAATATATTTCTTGCCTTTTTAGAGGAATTTATTTAATGAAAGATCCGCGACACCTCCTGGGATGGCTCAACAGTATAATGAATCTTTAGAGGTAATTATTTATTGTATATTTGCAAGATTGTATTAAAAACATGTACATGTTTTTAAATTTTTATCTTTAGGCGAAACCAATAGAAGTGATTAATATGAGACCATCGAAGAATGAAAACAGCAGTGCTGACTTTAATATATCTAGTTTTTTGAAAACGGTTCTTCCGTCTTCTGATGAAACACCGGATCCGGGACGAATACCAGGTCTGGGCTTGGACATTTCTGAGAATCGAGTAGAATCGCCTCAACACACCAACTATAGAAACTCACCTACGTTAGGACAACTTCCTGTAACGCCTGTGATTTCAAGAATGATGGGTAGTCAAAATGTGCCACCTCTTGGTGGTGCTGGTTTAAATAATTGTCAGATGAGCCACAGTACTCCATTGTCGGTTCGCAATCTGCCTACTGAGTCACACACACCTTCTCCGTATTCGAGTCAAAACAGTCAGAGTAATATAACTGGTCCCTTTGATAATTCTGCTAATTCTAATGCAGTTAATCCGTTACCACCTCCTCCCTTACCACCACCAATTTTTCTCGATGACGAGAATTGTTACAACAAATTGCCACCGAAATTTCCTACGTGGACGCCGCCGAATGAAAGCATCAAGGAATCAGCCAAATGGGAAGAAAAAGGTAAATGGACAATGCTCTATGAATGTAATTGTTGATTCTGCCATTGCTGCGTGGTAATACATGCCGTTTGATATAGTGAATTTCGCTACATGTTCAGGAAAAAACAGCATGAATCCTACGTGGCCTGGCGAATGTGATGATAAAAACAAGAGTTCGTGGATGGATCGCGATGGAGACAGATGGGACTCGAATAATGATCCCACATGGCCAGGCAATGGGAGGTCGAAGAATGACATATTATCCGAGACTCCCGAATCACCGCCGATATATGAGAAAGCTGGTTTTGCCGAACCAGTGGAATACAACGAGTCGCAACCACAAGAATCTCTTAATACCACAGGAGATGTGGATCACAGGTAATATATTGTTAATTTCTTGTAGTATTCTATTTTTAATTATTGATGAATTATTGGCATGATTTTTTTTTTAAATTAGTTAAAAGGCTTCAAGGACCAACGTGATGAAAATATGCAAAAAATAGAACGGTTATTACAATTTAATAAACCAATTCGATTTATTAAATTGTAATAACCGTTATCTGAAGCCTTTTAATTTTTATTGATTTTATTTAACGGACCTTTACTTCATTATAATAATTTTGATTTTTTTAAATTATTAAAGTCATTATATTTATATTATTTATACAGAGTAATTCCAATTCCAATGAATGTCGAAAATCAGCTACCGTATCGCTTAATGAAGGCAGCAGATGTAGATCATCGTAATTTGATTAGTTTAACGGGTAGTCCGGCAAATCATAATCATGGTGATTCGCTACCTGCTTTGCCCAATAACAATAATCTATGGTCCACGAGTGACCAGGATTATCGGTGAGTCTCGTTATATCATCTCTTTCTTTTTCTTCTGTATATAATGTAATATTACACGTAGCTGTATATAGACATATTTCTTGTATAATTATATATTCTTTTTCTGTCTCTTGTATATAATTTTTATATAATATATATAATCTAGGCGACGCGTGCAACCTGGTGATATTGTCGAGAGTGTTGATATGGAAATGTCGGATGATGAAACGGATAGTAAGCCAAAAAGCAGAGTTCTCGTTGACTTAAGATCGCAGGATCGCGACATGCGTGTTGGCATGCCACCATCAACAACCACATCTCATCTTGATATGGATATGCGTATAATTTCTCTTCCCGCCGGACAGATACCAAGCTCACGTGGTGGTCAGCTTGTACAAGATGTGCATTTGATGCATTCAGGACCGCCACCACTGCCGCCATTGTCGCAACAACAATTTCAACACCAAAATCAGGGTGGTTTTCGACAAGAGCAAGTGGAATTTCCTCATCGTAATCAGTCGGATTTTCATCGGAATCAACCGAATTTTCATCAAAACAGACTACCGCCGCCTAATTTTTTGGCGAATCAACAGGACTTTCATTCGAATCAACTCGAAGAGTTTCATCAGCTTCATCAGTCGCAGCAAGATTTTCATCAGCCGCAAGATTTTGAATATCGCGACAGAGAACACTCTATTCGGCCCAAACAGGATTTTTTGAACGAACCCTCAGGACGCAGATACTCGTCGTCGGATCATCAACATCAACGCGATAGTTCATCCTTTCATAGAAATGAACGGAGCAATCGTGGCAACGGGCGTGGATTTCCGAGAAATCGTCGCGATCGATATTCAGATGATCACAATATGAAGCAACGCAATAGTTTGGCGAACAATCGTAAATCAAGATCGCAAGATCAGCAGCATCATCAATCATCACCGGATACCTTAACCAACAATCGACCGTTATTACTGCAACCACCCGATACCGTCGTAATCCTCGACGAAGAAGGCATGCCAATTCGTATGCCGGATTTCGATCAGGATAACAATATACCACTCAACATGACGGATGCTCAAGCAGAGCCGGAACGCGATTCCGACAATTGTCAAAACCCTTCAATGTCACAGACACGGAGGACTTTGCACGATCCACCGAGTGCTCATGAATCTGAGCATAATCAGCAACAACAAGGTTATCAAGCAGGCTCTGATCACGAGCAACAGGCACTACCTGTGGTCAAATCGGACGACCAATCACCACCGTCGATGAATCAAGTGACGGTTATTGCGATAACATCTGACAGCGCCAACGATGATCCGCAACAACAAAATCAATATGTTCCTATTTCAGACTACGAGGAGCACGTAGAATCGGCCGAGCATTCCGAACCTGCGGAGAAGACAAGTGCGATCGATAAGTGCGAGCCGATCGATCAGGGACAAGAAGTGAACTTCACGGAAAACGAACCGTTAGACGAGTTGATGAGCTCGTCTACATCAGGTAACGAATTGAAAAGACCATCGACGAATGGTAGTTTCGACGAACAAAGCCACGATGAAGGCAGTTCCATTAAAAAGAGAACTCTTTTGCCGAACGGTCCACAAAGTGCTAGCGAGTCATTAGGACCAAACGGTCCCTCGCCGCACGTTAATACGGAACCACATCCCGCTATGATGCCATACGAATACGACGGACCGAACTTTCGACCGCGCATCGGTGCGCCTTTCCCGCCCTGGCGAGGTGGACCGCCACCTCCACCTTCCAGAGGAAGTAGAGGTTTCAGGGGTGGGCCACCGCCACGGGGTCCGTGGATGGACAGAGGTCCGCGCGGACCTGTAACCGGTAACTTTTCGCCGAGAGGACTGAAACGCGGAGGTGGGCAGTTTCGAGGCGGCGGTGGTTTCAGAGGCCGGGGACGAGGCAGTAACTGGTAGATAAGCGCAAAATTCGAAAGACTTGACGACTGTCGTCATAATTTGACCGAAAACATTACGAAATGCGTTTTACACCTTGTAAATAAGCGAACCGTCGTGTTTTGACACATGCAAATACACACACACATATATATATACATACAAGGATACCGTACATATATATACACACACGATCGGACTCCAGATGAAAATCTTCTGTAACGAAGATTCTCCACATCTTTCTATGTGCGATTGATTCGCCTATATAAATATATAAATAAAAAACTATAAATATATAATATACATATATAAATACATATTACATATTTCACATACACATTACATATTTCGTTAAGGTCTTATTATCGAAGCGGCTTGAATTCATGCATGTATATACATGTATGTACTCACGTAAGTGCTATTCGTGGATCAGATAATGATTAAGCATATAACAAATCATGTCGTAGTCGCTCCGATAATGACTAATCAGCATCATCACCACGACCCTTAGATTTTTATGTAAGGAGAGTTTGTGTTGTTGATGTACATGTTAGAGGAGGACTGTAACGATAAATCTATCAAATGAGTAGACTCGTCTAAAGAGAACCGTATTCTGGCGAACTAGTGAGCGACATTGAGCACCGAAAATCGCAAATAACGATAGTTAATCGATGATAGTTGATTGATAACAACGATTGAAACTAATGTAATTTTGCCGAGTTCAAATTTGTATGAAAATTACTAATAACGCGAAAAAATAAATTCTATGTTTATTATATATCAGAAATTGAACTCGTCAAAATTATATCAACTCCAATTTTTGTGTTTTTTTGACTCAATCGTTGTAATTTATTCTTCATGGATCTTCTATTATTTTCCTTCCTCATTCACTTTTGAACACAAAACAACGATCACCTGTTTCCTTGTCTTCAACTTGTCTGACTACGTTCTCCGCTGTTTGGGCTTGAAGTTCATTAAAGAAAGAAGAAAAAAGGAAAAAAGTAAACAGGCGCATTAATGAACCATCTAAGTATTAATAAAATGCAGTGTTTACGTTCTGGTCCGTTTCATACATTTTTCCTATTGTTGTTTCTCAAATATATGCACATGTAGATGAATGTTTCTTAGTACATCGTTTTCATAAAGAAACGGCAATAAATAATTAAATTGCAAAAAATCAATTTGTGAAGCGTCGTGTTTTCAATTCGTTCTTTATATTGTGAGAATCATATAGAATCATTTCGTGTCTAAGATATTAATTCGAAAGAGAGATAGGATAATCGATATAAGGTGCTCTTGTATTGTTAATATTTTTCTGTAGTTGTGACCAGACATAGAAATGTAAAGCGAATATAAAGGCTTATATGCCGGAACGATATGCTTGTTTCATTAGTCGTGCACAAAATCGTTTATTGTCCTTTACAATTACTTGTTTATTTAGATATTATTCACGTGTCTTTTTAACAAATATGGACACGATATGAATTATTAGTCACATGGATCTCAGTTTTTTTATTTGGAAATTCTATAAAAAAAATGATTAATTTTTATCGTATTGATCAATATATTAATTTTTCTTTGATATTCCTCACTTGTTGATTTTATGTTATGTTCTTATGTTCTACTCGGAAATGAGCGAATCGTTGCGATATATACGATGGACTGATAGTAAATGCGCATAGGAAACCAGTGTAGCAAAGGCAAAAAAATGAAAACCGTGGAACCCTTTGTTTGTTTAATAAAATAATACCGAGGACCTTTCTCCAACACTCTCAAATTTATCGATACGAAACCGTATTCCTGTTCTCGATGCATTTTCTTTTCAAGCGCAGTTTTATCAACGCACGTAAGTCCGTGACTCAAATGTATTATTATAATTATTGCGATAAAACGCGCATAAAATGCACACATTCGGCGACATATATATTCGATCTTTTTTTTTTTTTTTTTTTTTTTTATATATATATATATATATATATAAACACCGTGGTTTTTATATGACACGTGCGAATGGTACATTATTTGTATATCATTCCTAATTTTCTTACGCGATTAAAAAGATTCAATCTCACCTGATTTATCGATCCGTTTTGTTGCTCGTCATCCGCTTTATTTTTTTGGATATCGCGACGATGATGAATTAAGAAATATTGTTTATCGGCGAGCGAACAAAATATTATTTTGATCACCGTATATCATCAACAAATTAGTCCTCCATTAGAGAATCACGAATAGGATGAGCGCGAAGAAATATGTAGAGTACGCGTGGAATACGATTCAATGCGATTTAATAAACGGGGTGGTGTATTCAAATAGGAAAATACTTTCGAAAATTTTGTGATTTACCATTGTATAGTATCGAGCAATCACATAAAATTTCTCATGTTTATATTGATACAGGTTGCCTCAAAAATATGTAAATCAGTAATAGGATTTTATCCCCTTTTTATACATATATACATACACTCTGGAGATACAGTCAAATATATGTAGTACACACATTCTTTCCGGATAAAAAATAAATTTAATAAATATTTTTTTTAAATATGCAACGTACAAATTTGTGTGTATATATATACGTGCGTGCGTGCGTGTGTATGTGTGTGTGTCTGTCTGTCTGTGTGTATGTGTACATTAAAATTTACATATGATATTTAAGAAAAAGATATTTATTAAATTTATATATATACTCTAGACAAAATTAACACACAATTTTTTTTATACTTTTTCTTTAAAATTTTTTGTTTAAATATCAGCTTTTAAAGAGAAAGTGAAAAAAATTAACGCAAATTTATATATATATATATATATATATATATATATATATATATATATACATATGTAGAACAAGCATTTTTTTTATTTTTTATTCTGTCGAATATTTATACTGTTCAATAAGACAAAGCTGTGCAGACGCTGCTGATTTGTGTACATATTTAACAATTGTTAATTAACAATTTATTATAAAATATTATAAAATAAGTAAAAAATAATGTTTCCTCTGTTTGACTTAAGCTCTTTAACATAAATAAAAGTTTCTCTATATAGTATTTAGCTAAACAATTGAATATTTATTATCAATTAGAATAAAATAGTATCGAATAAGTTGTTCAATAAATAGAGTGATTCTAAGATATACATTACAACATAGAATCTCATTTCTTCATAATTATTATCCGATTTATTTTTAAATAAGTGTCTAAATCATAAAGTTTTTCATTAATAAAAATAAAAATTACACTAAAGAATTACTACTAAAGAAGAAAATAAATTTGCAATTAAGCTAATTTTTCGCTTTGAATATTAATTAAAGCTTACTTGAAAAATTTAATTTTAAGACAATTCTACATCTATTTCTTAAACCACTAAAAAATCCGCTTCCAGTTTTTTGGTAGCACTATTATACTGATATATATATATATATATATATATATATATATATATATATATATATATTTGAGGCAGCCTGTTATGTGTGTATATATACTACACTTTTTTTTTAAACTACATTTTGATTTCAAAATGATAGTGAAGGCATTCTTTGTTATTGAGATTATATGATTTATGTAAAATAATATTCTAGTTGGAAGTGCCTTTTTCATTAAAATTAATTTTAATCTTGTATTTTTTGGTGCAATGTAATATATCTTATTTTTTGATGTATGACAATATCACGAGTGCTTCTGCAATTTAATTAAATTAAACGAATATACTTGAATTAAAAAAGGAGAAAATGAGAAATGATTAAAGAGTGAGAGTGAAAGAGTGTGAAAGAGAAAGAGAGAGAGAGAGAGAATGAGAGAATGAGAGAAGAGAGGGTGAGTGAAGGAGGCAGAATAATCGATCCGAAACTCTATTAATAAGCGAGGTTCGATTATCCCAATGAATTATCTTGTAATTAATGTTTAATTATTTAATTCTAGACAAATGTTAATGAATTTTATATCGCGATATAAAATAGATGTGCATACTGTGTATGCGATAAGTTTTGTACATTGCCTTATTAAAGAGATTGACCTTTATTAACAATTACATTGGCAATAAAATTTATTATCCCTATAATTATAATTTTATATATCAATAATATATTAATATACCAAACATGTAGTATTTTGATGTTAATTATCCATAAAGATATTGATTTAAGTTTTTTGTGACGTGATATTAGAATTATAATTAAAGGATTTATGAGGTATGAATAAAAATTGAAGCAAATATACAGTAATAAATATTTTATTCAAATCGTTAGATATAATCACATTTTAGTCAATTATTTTTATAATATTTAAAAAATATATATACAAAAGATATTTACAAATAAACAAACGATCGCTTTGTCGTTACTGCATTTGATATAAAAATAAATTATTTTTTTTGCAATCTCGGTTTTGTATTTTTGATACGTAATCGCAATTGTTATGAGTCACAATACTCAAAAAATAGACAAATATAGGAAAAAGAATGCCTTACGGTTTTGTAATACATTTACATTAATATCTTCAAATTTAAAAAATTCGTTTGCTTGAACCATGAAGTGAAAAAAAACTTTCTTTTCATTATATAATTTCTTATTGCGACGTATCGTCATTTATAATCGTTAGAGAGATGTGCATATCTTAGAGAAGACAAATATTAAATTATATCACTTTGCGACTGTATCATTCTGCTTTTGATCTAAGAAAACCAAATTAATGATGGACAAGTTAACGATTTATCATTTTTAGTGAAAGATATTGATTAGTAATTATTATTTGCACGTGTAAAGTAACATGATGCAAAAAAAATACCGTATGCATCTTTCGGAGCTGTACAATGTAATTCTTTTGTATATAATAAAAAAATTGTTAATAATATATATTGATTTCTTTCATCTTTTGATTAGCAGTATGACACGGCGATAAGTGTGGCCGGCGGGAAATAATCATTATCGCGATATATCGAGAGTACAACCTATATAATTGATTTGAGGTATATTTTCTTACATTATTTTATTCTCACGCGTTATCTCTCGCGCTTCTCATTCTTTGGTCTCTCGCACTTTCTTTGGTTTCTCTCCGGTCTTGCTCGCTCAAACATTACAGAGTGTAACTCGTAAGCCGTCTCCTATATGTTCAAACAATACCATCATTTTCATCTTTGTATCGACTATATTTATTTACACTGTAAATATTGATATATTGTATGTAATGTTAAAAATTTATATATGTATATATCTTTACACAGACACACACATATATATATATATATATAAATATTATTCGATATTACATGTAATTATATATATAACTATATAGAATAATTTCTCTATTTTATTGTGTTTTATCTCATTTACTGTGACAATGGATGTTTTTTTTAAAAATAGAATAAAAAAATATATTTGATATATTAAATGATTAGAGATATGAGATTAGAGATGAAGAGATTCATCTTAAAACGATGCGAAACGATGAGACAAGAGATTCATCATAAAAGGATGTTTTCATTGCTACTCACGTTCTTCTTGTGTTAATTCTATTAATTTATAACATATATGTTACAGAAATTCCTTTATATGTAATTACTACTATTGGAATCATTTTAGTTATTTAGAAACAAATACGTACAATAGTATAACAGTAGAGAACGACTGTTCGATTACACCCTGTATGCTTTTTTAGACGATATTTGTCGGGAGATATAGCTTGACCTTTAAAATTAATCTGAATCATCATTCGTTATTTGTCATAAACTAGTGCTCTCTTCCTCCTCAGAATCCGCTTTTTCCAACATTTCCTTCTCATCGATACCCACGAAGTACGTCGTGACTTTTCCTTTTGGTTTCACGTATGTTTCACCACGTAAATGACACTTGACACTCTGTTGTTCCAAGATGGCAGCCGTATCCGCTGTCACCTGAGGAATCGTAATGTAAATTAGCGTACATGATCGATTTCACAAATTTATCTCGTCTCGTAAATGGTAATAAAAATTTTACTTGTATTTTTCCAGGTACTCCAGTGGTGTCCATTCTGGATGCCATATTTACGGCATCGCCCCAAATATCGTACAAGGGTTTTTGAGCTCCCACGACACCGGCCGTTACTTCTCCATGAGAAATTCCGATCCTTAATCTGAAAAATCAGGTAAAGGAAATTTTATATATATTATTGGTAATTCTTTAGGAAATATATAGTTGCCATTTAAGCTCTATACAATATTATTCTCATATCTTAATTAATTTCTCACAATTTTTTACAATTTTGCTCGCCATTTTTTATGTATGCCTGTTTACAATTACTCACTTATATGGTTTTGAAGTGACGAAAGACCTCGCGATCATTTTATCGAGCACGGACATCATTTCTACGGCGAATTGCGCCATCACCTTGACCACATTATCGTTAAAATCATCTTCGCTCTCGGTGCTATGCATCGAATTGCGTCGACTAGCTTCTAATCCACAAGCTGCCATATATGTTGTTCCTGTTATAAAAAATGATAATATAGAGAAAATTTTATAATATTTCTTTTTTTTACATTATTCGCTAGTAGATTTGTAAAATTTACTAAAGTAATTTTTCCATGAAATGAAAGGTTTATGAAATCATTATATTCATACATTTTCATATATATATATATATTTATATTTATATTTATATGATTATATTATATTTGCGTATTAAATAAGCACTCTTTTTAAATAAGTTTTTATTTAGAGTTTTAAATAATAATTAAATAAGATTTAGAACTTATAAATTTAAAGCTATATAAATAACTAATAATAAGTATGCATTTTATTTTAGGCACAGCTTTGATTGATATGATAATGAAAATGTCAAAGTTGTTTTTTAGATCATGTCCCTAAATATTATTCTATTCATCATTTTTTAGGAAATTAATTATTCATAAAACACTCACCAGCAACCTTTATTTTTTCGATACGACACACGAAATAGGGTTCAAAGAGTAATTTGTCGAATTCGCAGATAATCTCATTCAGATCGATAAGAATGTCGCTCTCGTCGATTGACAGCCCTATCAGAGAGGCGAACATTACGGCCACGTTATTGTGAGACTCGTGATAAGGTTCGTTCTCCTCGCTTCGATTCATATTCAAATAAAATTCCGCTAAAATCAAGCGAGTGACGGGATAATTAATCTCGAGTAATTATTTCGAATATCAGATATTATTGTTATACGTTATTTTCATCATGTTAGTCAATATATCGATTGGATATTCGAGAGAAATATATAAATAACTGTATATAATTGTTGAATAATTGAATATTAATTGTTGAAAAAAGCGTACCAACATGTTCCGGTAAAATGTTACGGAGTAGAAGCTTATTGGCATTCCTCGTATGAAACGCTTCATCCTGTTCTTTTGTTAGTTGACGTTTCCATTGATAATCCAGCCTGCTCAGGTACTCTGCCTAAACGAAGATGTTCGTAAAAGTTAACTCATTAACAAATAACGGCAGAAAGATTCCACACAAATGTGATTTTGGGAAATTCACCTGACGATCAATAAGATGTAAAGAAAATGTGAGAAACACCACGGTCAATATATGAGCTAGTCTCGGGTCCAAAGAAGGATTCCACGTGTCGCTCAACTGAAGAATATGTGTAAAATACATTTTATTTTGTACGTTTTAAAGAAAAACAAGATTATTTTTATTTAAAAAAAAATACGCATAACATACCTGAAATATAGATCGATGCACCCAAACATTCCATGCATAAAAGACTACCACGCAGATACCTATCATGAATTTCAAAGCATAGTGGACTCTCAGAAAAAGGAAACTCGTGAGGATTGCCAACGAGCATGTTTCTGTCATTTGCTATAAAAAAGGAATTAATAGTAACATCAAAATCGTTGAGACAAAAAAATTTCATGTGAATGAAATTCTGCACCGTGTACCTACTAAATAATCTTACCCAAGGTGTAGCCATGCACTCTAAATTGGAGGCGCCAATTTCCACGCTGGATGTTATATTATTGTTTACATTGTTACATTCGAACTGAAAAAAATTTTGATATTTTTCATTACGTTAGAAAAAAGTTTTCTTCTTTCTAATTTATAATTAAAAAGCAATTACTTTAACGATCTTATATCGCAGAGAAAGAAAAGCTAAATTCGCAAAGCATGCAAAATAATCGGTAGAAAAATAAAAAAAATAATTGGAGAAAAGTTCTTACAATCAAGTCAAACATGGCGCATGCCGCCAACATTATCGTGATTATCAGGTACAAGATTGTTCTCAAAAGGGCGCTCCATACGACCTGCATCAAATTAAAATAAATAGAAAAAATGACGTTGAATGATAAAATATATATATAGTAAAGATAAACGCAAGAGGTAATATAAATAATATATTCACCTTTACGCTTGTTTGGTAAAAGAAATATAGCAATTTATTCCGTGGATGCGGAACGTTTCCTTCGTGTTCGTCGTGTGGATCCTTCCAACGATTCCATACAAAGTGCATCCACGTGAGAGGTATTAAAATGATCAGAAACATCATTACTGATGAGTAACTGGCAATTATTCTCAGATTCCACCTGAAAGTTTAATGAAACTTTTGTAATTATTACATTTTTTTTACATTGATGACATTTACAATTATCAGACTGATATTTGTGATATATGTACTGGGAGTGCATAAGCGTGGGTACGAGATAAATGAATCCCATGAAGAGTAGCACAAAGGCAGAACAGCCTATGTAAAACTTGAAAAGAGGATCCGGTTCACGCAGAAATGGAATCTCCCAACTCCATTGCCGGAATGTCAGGATAAGTGGATTTATATGCTTCCAGTTGCTCCATTGTCTAGAAAAATGAAAAAGATTGAATTATTATAATAAATATTATTTTAATTTATATGCAGATTAATATTTTTATTCTTTAAAGATAATTTTGCTTGACTTTTAAAGATGTATGTTGAATTTATTTTCCAATAAAAAAAATTCAAAGATCAAATCTTCAAACATGAAAAAAAATTTAATGGATGTTTCTCTTTATTAAAATACAAAATTGTAAAAAACTTACTCCCATTTATTGAGAGGCATTTGATTAATAGCGTTCTCCATCTCGGCGTCTGCCGCTTTCAACATTAGATGATAATCTCGCAAGCAGGAATCCATGAAGTGCGTTCTTCGTCTATAAGTGCTCGCGAAAACGTCCGCCTGATTGTTTGTTAATTTCACCCTAGAAGCGTTGCTGATAATGTTGTTGCAGCGCCCATTGTAGTACTTGATGTAATGTTTAGGCGTAGGATACGACAGAATCGGCGAGTCCGAACTAATGACCTTCAAACTGTTCTCGCTGTTCTGCAACAAAGTTCGTCTGTCAACGATGCGAAACTCAATGGGAATTTGCTCGACTAAAGGACAATGTGAAAAATCAGTGGCGTAGGAGTATTCACTCAAGATTAAATGTTTGATTTTTTATAACATGTAGGATCTACGAAGCGTATAACGATTGCAAGAGAAAACAAACTATATAATCATTAGAAAAATTATTATTAAAAATTTTTTATTATTATTATAAATTAAAAATTTATTATTAAAAATGATTTAAACTGACTTAAGACGACGTTATAGATACGAATTATCATTTTCCTACGCCACTGGGAGACACGCACCGCGTCGGTACCGGTATTTTCGACGAGATCGGTGTGATGAGGTAGCTGCGTATTCCGTATTTTCGCAGGACTTCGTCGTCCAATCTTTCGACCGGGACGTAATTGTAATCGCTCACGTTAACGAGATCCAGCGTTTGCTGAGTCACGTGCACCTTGCCGGGTTTTCCAGTTTGCTCCATTTTGTTCGCTATCACCACATCGCGCGACCAAACGTCGTACTGCCATTTATTTGTGCCCAGAATTCCGGATATTATGTTGCCCGAGTGCACGCCGATCCTCATGTTCACGTCGACACCGCTCTCGCGATAGACTCTCGCTCTGACCTCGTTGATGATTTTTATCATATCGAGGCCTATCACAAAAAATAATATTTAATTACATTTAATAAATATTTAATTAATATTTAAATATTTTTAATAAAGGAAATCTCTCTCTTATATGTCCTGATTATTATAATATATTTAATTATTATAATATATTATAATAATTAAATTATAAATTATAAAATAATAATTATATTATAATAATTAAATAATAATATATTTAATTATTATAATATATTATAATAATTAACATGTACACATATTTTAGGAGCATCTTCGAAATCCATTCCATTCATGCACAAAGAGGTCTTGGAAACTTGGAATCTTGGACTTTATCAGGCATCTACATCACCCTACCTTTCACGAGATGATATGAAACGTAAATAAATTGTTATTTACCGAGATCAACGCAGCTTTTGGCATGTTGGGAATTCGGCGTAGGCACGCCGCTCACGCAGTAATAACAGTCGCCCAAAAATTTGATTCTCAACACGTTATGTTTTTCCGATGCCTCATCGAAGCTACCGAACAAGTCGTTCAGCGTATCCACGAGTTTTCGTATCGGCAACGTTACGGTAAGTCCAGAGAAATTCACCACGTCCGCGTACAAGATGCTCACATTGTTGTGCGTCTCTACGCATAGATCGCTAAAAGCAGGATGATTAATTTAATCATTTCCTGTGATTAATTAATAATCATATAATTGAAAATCTCATTTTGTCTCATGAAAGTAACATGTACCTGCCATGAGGCCTGCCTTTCGGCGCAGGACTTTTCTTGTGCTCCTCTATGAACTTGAAAATATCTCTAAAATCTTTTTTTATTTTCGCCACTATATGTTGCGGCAATATACTGCGTGTCAATTGTTCCTGAAAATGTCGCGTTATTATTCTGAACTCTCGATAAAACCCCGACTTTTCTTAAATCTCAATTTAAAATTCCCGTAATTTTAATTTTTCTTATTATTAATATATCTTCGAAATTTTTAGAAATTTTTGTCTTTTTATTTTTCATAGACATAGAAATATCACAGAGCAAAACATAGTGTCCGTGTTCAAAAAATTAAATTACAAAAGACAAAAAGAATTTATTTTCAGTGTGCTTACAACAGTCTATTTAAAGCTTACATGTCTAGCATCGGGAATTTTTAGTGTCTGAAATTTTCATGTCTTTATTTTTCATGGACGTAGAAATATCACAGTAAAGCATAGTGTGTCCATGTTCAGAGAATTAAAGTGCAAAAGGAATTCACAATGTGCTTACAGCTGTCTGCTTAAACGAGCTTACGTGCCTAGCATCATGAATTCATGTCTTACACATTCCCCATACGAAGTACTGTTTAGATTTGACGTGCGTATTTTATTACTATTATACTACTTCCATTAAAGTTAGGAATCTTTTTAAAAGATTTAAAAAAAAATCTTTCTTTCTAAATAAAAAATGTATTAAAACTAAAATTATTTTTAATCAAAAAAATTCTTGCAAAATATTTTTTACTTGGCAAATATGATAAATCTACTCCAATCCAATTTATTAATCTAGACCTACTTCTTGATCCTTTTCATAGTTAAGTCTGAGCGTAGATTCGACACACTTTCGGCGATCTAGAAAAGAGCGTCTGATGACGACCTCGTTCATGAACCTGAAGTAAAGTCCCAGGCCATTTATGCACACAAAGTATATTGCATCACTGATAATCTGTAGGTGAGAAAAAGAAAAAAAAGGATTATATTCTTTTCTATACTTATTTCGCGTCAATCTCGCGGATTATATCAGGCAGTTACGCCGCTATCGGTAGCGAGCTTACCTTGTGATCGGTGTTGCTGTAGGTGACTAACGACAAGGTCACCAAGTAACATATGGTGGCGGTAAGGCCGAGCACGAAAGCATGTGAATTCTTCGTGATCGGCAGAAACACATAACAAGCGAGAAGCGCGTGTGTCGCGTATGCCGGTCTAAAAAGTGAAATATGTATAGATGTTATATGTATATAGCAGTACATATGTGGTTGCAAATTCGCAGATCTGTGCTTATTAATGAAAATTAAAAGAGCTAAAATGTAATCGCGCTATTGCATGGAGAGATTTTTAAATGCAATCGCGAAACTGTAGACCATGTACGCATCAAGGATAATTGAAATCTTTATACTTCGCATTCTTCTGTTGTTGAAAAACCTGTTAGATATCTTACATTGCAAAATAATGTTTTGCTAACAAATTATTACATGTCGTAACGTTTTACAGCAAATTATGTAAATTGCGCTTTTTCAGAAAAATTTTCTTACGTTTGCTATGTTTGCTATGTTTGCTATGTTTCTTAATTTTTAAAATTTTTTAGCTTGTCATAATTGCAAATACAAAAATACGTTGCGTAATTGTCAGTCACATGATGCGCAAAACTTTATTCTAAAAATATCTCATTTATGTCGATAATGGTTATTTTGCGCCATATACTCGATTAGAGATGATATCAACTCTTGTAGTATCAGCCGTTTTTTCCTCTAAATAACGAAATTAAAAAAAGAATACATTTATTTTTATCAGTGATAAATATTTATACGCTTAGACGGACAATTATCGCGGAATAATTTCGATAAACTGTTCGTTAAAGAGGTAACTATCATTAGGAAGTCTCCATTGAAGGTTAATGCTACAGTAACGATAATAATCAAATGCGAGACCTTGCACAATTATTTGCTCACTTCGCAAGTTGAGTTATCAGTACCTTATCGGAATACCTTCGGGATAGGTGAAGGTATAATACAGAGGAATTGCTAGGTCAGCGGCGACCAAGAGCACAACGATCAGCCAGGAAAGCATGATTGGCAAATAAGTGTTTTTGGCGATGATTTTCGATCTGAATGACAAGGCGATCATGGGACAAAGCAGAGCGCCTACGATACAGTAAACTACGATGTCCGGCCAACATTCCTCATTAATGACCTAAATACAAAGAGAAGAAGTACAAACATCTGTCTCTTAATCATGTTATTGTTATAGATTCCCAAGATTCCTACTTAAATACTTGTAATCTTCTTAAAATCTTGTATACTTGTAAGCTTTTTAAAACCCACATCGCAGAATAAATAATAATAAATATAAATATAAATAATATTAATAATAATAATAAGAATAAATATAAATAATATTAATAATTATTACAATAAAAAAAATATAAAAATAATATTACTATTTTTTTTCTTAGTCTCTTATTAATTGATTGTTCATTCGTCTGATTTTCCGATTACTTGTGTTACTTGAAGACTCATATACATTTATAATATTGCCAGATATATATAGAATACTATATCTTAAGTAAATAAACTTACCATGAGAATCAAACAATATATGAATCCAAGCACCAGTTGCAGCAAAATGAATATTGAGAGATAACCATATTGTAATCGCCTTTGATAGATCGTATATAGCTTTTCTAGGCTCTTGTACTTGAATTGTTTCTGAAAGTGAAAGTTTGCATGAGATTGTAATCGATTCGCCATCGAATCGGCAAATTATTATAGATAACCGATGTTCCAGATATTCGCACATGAGACACGAAAAAGTGCTTATTGCGGCAAAACTATACAATCGTTAATCTTGTAGACATTTTAGTGATTTAATAAAAAATTGAAGAGACGTGTACTATTAGCGAAATTTTATTTTTCAAAGAAACTTTTAAAGCACTTGTTAATTTTAATAAGATGTAATCCATTCGTAATAATTCATATGTAATTCTCTAATTTAATTTTTAATTTTTAGATTAAAAAAGAACTCCATTTTCAAAACGATATATGGACACCTTTTCTCATTCGTATTATATAATAATTCAACACAAATCTTTACAGTAATTCATCATATAGTTTATTTTCCAATTAAATGCAAAAATAATAAATCAAAAAACCATGCACATATTCATTAACAATCGATTTGATAAACAGTATCTTTGCTCTTCATTTCAAAAGTTGAGTTATAAATTTATCAGAGTATATGCACTCTGTTATCGTTCCATAACGTTGAGACATCAGTCAATATAGATTATGAGAATGGATAACATTGTCATTGTGTGAAACAACGTTGCAACTCGTCTCGAGCGAGCATGGATTTTGGTTCGAAGGAAACGAGCAAATCCGTCTAAGAATCGTTTTTTTGCATTTCGTCCATGACGGAGACTTTTATTATACATTTTGTTCCGTGATCCATGAATCAATGATTACGTCAGGACTCCAATTTAGTGAATGACTCCATGCCATCAGAGAGAACAAGAGATGTCCTTTTATATCGGAGCAAGAATCTCCTTTTATATCAGAACAGCGTTATTTTAATTGATGCAAGACTTTTAAATATATAAGAATACATCGAGTTTACATCATCTTTTATATTACACTTTTAGTGCCCGATGGATTTTCGTATCAAAACATTTATGAAACACAGTATGAAACAAATCATACAATAAATTACGAATAGAGAATATTGTACAGTCTCTTATGATATACGAGAATCTGTCGTTTTTTATTCTCTTCAATATCCAGAAAGCATCTTCTGCTCCAACGCGTTGGATTAATTTTCTTTTCAGAATGTGTCATACAACGATGAAAATGGCTTTAATAGTCGATTAATCAACTGATCAATTGAATTAATGACTTGTCATTCATTTACTCTCATCACTTTTATCTCACGTAAGTTTTCACGAGATGACGCGCACCACAAATTGACATTCGCAACGTGTCGCGAAGATTGAACTTTCGACTTGCAACCCTTTACATGCACAGAAGAGAAGATTGCTGCGTCTTTCTCGGCATTTCCGCCTGCACGACGGTCGTTGGCGTTCTGATAATCGCATGTGTACGTGGCGCGTGGCATAAATTACACAACTAGGCTCGTAAAAAAGATAAACCACATCCGTCATGAGTTGCAGTCCCACTTACTTTAGCATGCACTATGGAATGCACCACAAGCTCCCGTTGGATCTGTGCGCCTCGAGCTATTAAAGTGCTGGGATTATGGCCGGGATCACTTCTACGTTGCATGTAATGCCATAGCAAGATGCATTCGCATAATTCTTCGCTATGTGATACATTCATATCTCTTCAATAAATTCAATTCTTTGATATTTGGAGGAAACGTAATTTTAATAATTTGCGCAGAAAAATCGACTGTTATATAATTTATATACAATAATTAATCTTAATAATTATCTCAATAAAAATTTCTTTCATTTGACGATTTATCTTATGTAATAAATTTGGAAGCAACAGTGAAAATACTCTTCCTGAAATATTGACTATTACATTTTCGCAGCAATAATTCAGAATTAATTAATATTTCTGAGTTAAGAATCTTTTATCTTAAGAGTTTAATGTTAGGCACTGCTGAGTATTGAATATTGAGTCGCCGAGCCCCAGTATTGAATGTGGACTATTGAATGCTGACAAGATATATGTGATGTCTAAAAAATATCCTTGCTTTATTTATTGAAAAATATTCGTAAGGAAATATTCATAGGAACAACTAAAGAATGCTGCATCGAGTAGCGATTAAAAAACAATTAATTATGTTCTAAACAAAACGTCACAAATGCCACAAATTAAAAATTTATAGGTACACACACACAAATAAAATATTTTCTTTGGAAAAATTTCATACATCTTTGTCTCGTTAGAATTTATCAACCTACTTTTTAATCATATAAATTTAAAATTTATTCAAAATGCTTAACTATCTTTTTCTTTGATAAATCTGAAAACAAAAATCTTGAAAAGTCTCTTATTTAAAGTTTTTTCCAATATATATCTTGTAATAAAATAAAATGAATATTATTGTTATTTCAACAAAGTATTGAACGCAGAATTTTAGAAAGGTATCTGCATCGTGATAAAATTTCCTTACATAATTATTTCGAGATATTTTGTGCATTATTGATCACCAAGCGTACATTAAATTTATCGTTATTCTGGCAATTAACGATATTCAGATAATGCGTACGCACAGCATTTATTATCGGAGCCTAGATTCACGAAAGAGGTAGAATGCCTCTGCTTTCGCTTGCGGATACTCACGTGTCACTGGCCGAAATTTACACTACGATTCGAAGCAAAGTGTGACTTTTCGCGATACGACCACACCCGCCGAAAAATTACGTCCGTCTAAAGTGCAATTAGGCAAGGTGCGCTTAAAAGCACCTCCACTTGCAGCCGGCAGCAGCAGCAGCAACAGCCCGGGGGAAACGTGCTTCCGTACTTTCGTCTCGCGCGTGCGTTTTGCCCGCTCGTTGCCGTTCGCAGCTCGGCGAATCTCGCCTTCTCTCTCTCTCTCTTGTTTCGCTGAATATTGATCTTCAATCTCAAATTCGCACAGCAGGTCTCCTTTCGTTCTTTCTGTCTCTCTCTCTCTCTCATTCTTTTTAATTCGTTTCTCGCTCTATATATCTCAATTTTGTCCGTCATTCCTCTTTTTTTTTTGTCTCTTCGAAATATTAAGGACAATAGTATTGGTTCATTGGTTACTATCATATTGAACAATAATAATATTAGATCAAATGTGAAGATGCTTTCTATAGATGCATCTAAGTATTGAGAGAATTAATTGTGTTAGATATTTTTTAATCACTCCCCTCGTCAGCTTTCGAGCTATCGAGCTTTGATTACGACTATAAAGGATCGAACTGTTGTGAGATAAATTAGAAAAATGATAAAATTTTCTTTCTAGTTTAGAATAGTGCAATTTCATGCAAAATTTTATACGATTTGGAATAATCCACTATAATTTGAAGGGTATAATTTTTTAAATAATCCTAAGATGGTTTATAACAAATTAAAAATAAAAAGTGTTCCAATAAAGATAGATAAATATATATTAAAAAATCGATATTAAATCGAATCGTTAGAATGAAAAGAGAAATGTGTGAAAATTTCAGCTGGACTTACCAGTGACAAGTTTATGACAAAGAACCTGCACGCCACAATTGAATGGATTAAAATGAAGAACGCACATCGGTAATCGAACCATTTTTTTTCTAAAACTTTATCGGATGCTGCTACTGATACGCGTGCTGATAACACGGTAAATAACTTGAAATCGCACATGAAGAGATTAGGCTGCTATTTTTTATACAAGTGAAAAAAAGGTAAATAGAAGAATCTCTTCCGGTTTTGCATTAATTTCTTCGAGTTTGCGTTCGTGCAAATGTTATATGTAATATCTTTCGGTCATACAGATAAATCAATCGCAGAACCGTCGATAAGATGCACTTTCAAAGAATTCTTTTCTCTGTTTCTCTCTCTTTCTCTTATTCTCTTTCTTACTCTGCTTAGCGAATCATTCTCTCCTGATAGTAACTTCGCGTTAAAAATTTTCCTGTAATCTTATTTTCTTCGCATACCTTGTCAGGTGGATTTAATTTTCTTGATCTGTTTTGTAATTATATCTGTTTTATAATTATACTCGTTGATGTTAAAAATTGAATTACCAATATTCAATATCAATTGAATTATTCAATATATTAAATGTTGCCAAAACATTTTGTATATTTTTAGTTAATACAAAAGACAGGATTTTTTGATAGTTCGAATTTTTAATTCAAAATTGAAATATACGCTGCTGATAAAATTGAGATATATGCTGCAATTTTTTGCAATTGGTATTTATATATCTCAAAAAGTTTTATAATATGCTTTTTAAGTTTTATAATAAGCTCTAATAGTCTTGGAAAAAATTCATAGCTAAGTATATTCCAGATATATTTGTAGAAAATTTAAATACTTTCTCTCTAAAATATTCAATTGATTTAAAAAGTTTTAAGATGTAATGTATAATGTAATATGCAAAGCTCCGGTTGTTCAAACATTTTTTGAAGAAATCATTTAAAATATTACGATGTTCTCGGCATAAAAAGTAATATAATCCGAATTCTTAATTATAACAAATAAAAGTAATATTTAGCCAATAAATTGTAATGGAGAGATAAATAACAAATTGATAGCGTGCAAGGAATAAAAAAATAAAATAAATAAGGGCATTGGAATTTATCCTCATATACATATATATTGTTCACATATATATATTGTTCACATGTGTTTACTTTCTAAACGTTCACCAGTTAAAACAGATAATTAATCAATTACTTACCCTCAGACTAGACCACGTCCATTCGTCGAAGCTGTTGGGGGAGATGATACGACCATCGTCGGTTTGCAGAGAGCTCAATGACACTCGGGTCACCAGTTCCATGTCCATCTTCGCTCCGTTGCGGTCTCACGTGCCGATTTCAAATCATTCCTCGATTACAATTATAATATGATGACAACGGCGATGACGGCGGCAGCGAATTCGCGGCTGTTGTACTCATCGCGGCGACAGATCCGCGAGAAGACTGATCGCATGAATGGCAATCGAAAAGTGAATCACCCCGTGCACTACCTGTGCCGATTCTCCGTGATGGTCGCGCCAAGTCAAACTGACGCTTTATCGTGATAAGGGAAATGGGCCACTCGAAACACTCCCTCTGACTGATTACCTCGTCTTTTTTTCTCTTTCTCTCTCTTTCTGTCTCCCTTTCGTTTCAATCAACTATAATGCACACTCGTGATTTTTTTATGCCTGCAAAGTCTGCCTGGTGCACAGCATGGCATCGATTGTGGGTGATAAAGCGACGAGGCAGATAGAGAAGATCGAGACGGTTCTCGACAGTTTCTTCGTTGTCAGGAAAATTGAGATTCTCGTGGCAGGTAAATGGAATATAATTTTAAGTGTTTTTTTCGAAGAATTCACGGATATCTGAAAGAACAATACCAACAAATGTCTCGATAATAACGTAATTGAAAACATGTATTCGCCGGCATTCCAGAGAGGTTTGCGTTTCTCATTAGAGTCATTGCAAAATTCCCTCTGCGTCGAGAAATATCGATCGTAATTATGTTCCAATGCGCACATTCTAATTATCCTTTCTTTTAATGAATGAGTAGATAAGAATCTGCAAAACTCGGTGGTAGCTTTCGCCTTTTTATTTTTCTTATGCAAGTAGTGTTAAACAAAATATAACAAAATACAACTCAATATCAAGCAGCAATATTCTGGAATATTTTTTCTATTTGAATATAATTTTTTCAAAATTAATCTAAGAAGTAATCGAATTTAATCGAATTTATTGCAGTTAAAGCTTAATTCATCTCCTCCCTTTCTTCCCTCTTGAAAATAGAATTGTTAAATATTATAGTTCATATACTTGGTGTACTCCAAAGACATAGTTATCGATTGCAGGAAAGAACAGTGAAAATATTGCTTTGGAAAAAAGTACACGTTTAAAATTTCTTATACAGAAAATTGTTACAAATAATTATACTTACACATTAACTGTGATATATTAAACTATATAAAATACATTTATTAAAATAAATTTATCTTTATTCTATCATATGAATATATGCAAACAATTATATTAAAACAATAGTTTTAATAGAAATGTAAAATTGTGCTTTCAAATATTCTGTACAATAAAATATACAACCATTTAAAATATGCTTTTTAAACAATATTTGTTTATACATTCTTTTTACAGATATTTGAATTAATTTATCGAGCAAATCGCGGAAGCGTTTGATAGGAATTCTCTGATATCTATTTTTGTGATTCTCATATGTTGCTTTTTTCACCTTTATAAAAGCTTCAAGAGATAGCCGAAATTGATCGACAAATTAGGTAGATATTTTTGCCAGCCGATAACACACGTATGGCTTTTGTAGAATTACGAAGCACTTTATTCTACCGAGGCTATTAAGGATTAAAATAAATTGCGTACAATGATTTCTTCCTAGAATATTTCGTAAAATACTCTCTTTCGCTTATTATCATATTAATAACTTTTTTATAAAATTATCCCTTTCATTTTATATTTCAACACAACGTTTTAAGCCAAATTTTTCTAATTATAGAGATTATTTAATTACAAAAATTATTTTAATAGATTAATTATTAATAATAGAAAAATTAATAATGAAAAAATTATTTTAATAAATTTACAAAGATTTCAAACTGTGAATTAATCGTTGATATCGTATGTGTCGAGATCGATGTCATATCTAATATTTGGATCAGATTATTGTTTAAATGCATATTTGTCACTTAATCGTATATTAGCAGATACTAAGCAAATTACATAATTTTATTACGTAATTTCATTACGATAATACAAGGCGCGCTTCTGATATAGCTGACAGTTAGTACACCGTAGAAAAAGTGAAATCTACAAACGAGTCGAGGAAATATTTTCATTCCCAGTTATGCCACACTGCGGTGGAACATTTTTCACCTAGTCACCACGAACCTTTTCATTGTCCGTGCGACGAGACTTTCTCTGCCATATTCACGCTCGGTGCATCTTTTACTATTTACAGTGTAACATGTCTTCAAAAATAATCGCATGATAGCCCATATCGAAAACGATTTACGGTCGATTATTAAGCGTGATTGCCAAGATTGGCCGATAAACAATAATAATAGAGTCTTAAACATTGATACTCTAATACTTTTTCTGATAGCTTTTATTGAAAAGATATAAAGATGCAGTGATGATGTTTGTAATCGTATAATAATGCATGTGTGATTTTGGCAAGTCAGAGAGATTGGCAACACAATGGGCCTTGGTTAGTTTTTGAAATGCGATGATTAATTTAATGTTAATAGCTCCGTGTGTAATAATGCTTGGTTTATATAATGGTACGTATGTATATGTGTAATCTTTTTTTGGCAATCACGCTTCGGACGTCAGCAACGATAACTTTCGAGCTCTGTTAATTACATCCTGTCATTTTCAATCCTTCCGGATCAACCAAATCGAGTGGCATTTAATGATTTAAATGATTAGCGGACGATTAATGTCTGTTCGAAAAAGGATGTGTTTAATGGGTCGTTTTGTCGACGACGAAACGGTAGGAATAACTATTAAAATTATCAATCGGTTATCGCGGCTATATCGGTTATATGATTCAATCGAAATGAATTCCCAGCTACATGCCAAGCGTCCATAAGCGCCTTATTGATTTATTTTCATTGAAAGCTTTACTCAATTAATCACCAAATACACATTCATTAGTGTTACGTACATGATAGAGGCCTAATAAAGTGCTTGATAGATGAGTATTAATAACTTTGTCAGGCAATACATTACAATTACCTTTTGTAGTGCAAATAAACACCTTCTAACTTTTAACTCATTTTTACAAACAATTTTTAACAATTTTTAATTGATAATAAGAAATTAGAAGGCACATTTTTCGCATTTTAGAAAATGCTTATAGCTTATCGTTAATCAATAGAGATAATATATATATCTATCAAGGAATATATATACAACACACACATCTATACATACATATGTATAATCTCTATTTTTTGTATATATAATATATATAAAAAATTAAAAAATTACGATAAATCATGACTTCTTTCGATAACATTTTTGTATTGACTTTTAATTCAGAGAGCTCATTATTAAAATTAAAATCACAGATTTTTCTCTATATCTTGATTAGAAACAACAATATTCTAAATAATTAATTTTTTAATTTACGCAATTATCAATAAATCGGCTTTCGTCAACAATCATGCTGACAAGCTTCGCTTTCCTCAACACCTACCTTAATTAATCGGCTCTTCCTCCAGTTCAGGATGAAAAGTCAGCCAGCTAACGATTTCCGATTCGCCGATAGACCTCGAGGTACACAATGATTCTTCCAACAAAAGTTACACGTTTATTCGGAGGCGCGCACGGAAACTCGTCGGCGTGTTTCCCGCAATAAACTACTTTCATCCACGAGAGAGAGACCACTTTCCACTGCCGATATCGCCGTAGCTCGACAGGTGCGACGATGAACGGGTCGTACACCTACGGTTCCTTTTCGATTCGAGTCATGATGGAGGCCCCAAGGCCGTCCCGCGCCGGCATTTCGTCTCGGCACGCACGCAACAATATTGCACTCTGTATCGAAGATTCAATGACACTTTTTTACGACTTCCGCCGCGCTGTTTTGTTCGGAAGGTCGGAGGGTCGTTGCGCGGAAATCCGTTCGCAATCACGATTCTTCTGAGAGAGCTATTCTGCAATGATCGCGCGATCTTGAAAACATAGAGCACCTCAATCAATCGCCTTTATGATAATTTATAGGTATTATACATAATTGTGATGTAGAATTTCATTAAATCATAATTTTTCTCTAATTAAAAATCTCACAAATTGATAAGATAAATAGATGACATTTTTTAATCAATCGATTATTGATTTATTAATCATAATTGTAAGAATTACGTTGTTAAATAATTTCGTTGTTTCAATCAAACATCAAGAAATCAGAGATAGTAATAGTATTTAAAATTGAAAATAAAAAATATTATAAAAATAAATTTAAAAAAAAAAATATAAAATTATAAAATTTGAAAATAAAAAAATCTCTTTATATTGAACATAAGATTAAATCCTTGAAGAAAGTATTCAAAATATCTGTTAAATGATATAGATATTTGAAGAAGCGACCTCTTAATTGCTTTAAACAAGTATTACGAATAAAAGATGGCAAATGTTTGCGAGACCTTTATTTTAAGAATAAACTGTTAGATGTTAATTTTCATTCATGCGTAAAATTCCATATTTGATCGAATGATAGATTCCGAGGTTTGTGTGAATTTGTCACGTAGAGAATAATGTTAATAACGAAATCGTCAAACGAAACCATGGTCAGGTGCCACGTGAAATTTTTACACATCTGCTGTCAATTTTCACAGCCGTGTGATTTTTCGTGTAGAAAGAAGTTAGGCTGACCTCGATTATTACGGTGTTAATTGCAGGAGTCTGACAATATCACCGATTTTGCATGCATATGACAATTATAATAATGTATAATCAGTTTGCCTCTTGGCACGATAAGAAAGTTGTAAATATATATTCAATATTATGCAAGACAAATCTATCATGTGAAATTTTTCAAAGTTATTTAAAATATCATAAAAAATCTTTTTATCTTTAAATTGTTTTCATTGCATGCAAAAATTTTATTTGCATATTTGTATACGTGTATATAACTTGTATAAAACGATCAACAGCTAAATCGATTAAAACAATTATGCGTAAAAATATTATTTCAAGTATAACATAATGTTTTACGAATGGAAAATTATCATCGTGTTTAATTTAAAAACGAGTCAATTAATAATCCAATTAAATCTTTTAAAAAACAAAATATATAAAATCGTTTCAAGGTCTAAAATTATAATAATTTAATTGTATGTGTGATTATTATAATTTAATTGTATGATGTAATTATTCTAGAAATCTGATGCTAATTCTGTATAACTTCGAGTATTTCTACGTATAAAATATTACACAACACACACGTACACAGACACACCTTTTTTAGAACATCCTGTATACGATTCTTGACTTGATGATGAATTGGATTCGTAATCATATATTTATTTACAGATGACTCAATATTTTATTCGATATTTTATTGAATGAAATATTCTGATATTCGGCACTTCTTATCGAATGTGAAAAACGTGAAAAAAGATTTACGAGAGCGATTTGCGACCATTATTGTAATCTAACAAATGTACATTAGACACGAAACAAGAAACACACACACAAATCACAACACGTCAATGTATAACATTCGGCTACCTTTATTAGCAACTTACCATAAGTTGCAACAATTTTCGCGAAGCGTTACAAAAAAATGCGAACCGTATCGTTCGACTCGAACAAACATATTACTCGAGAAGTTGCGACCAGTTTAATGAGGCCTTTAAGAAGTCGATTGGCCGTAGAGTTATCTGGTGCCTTTTGATAAAACGATAGATATCATACTTGATATCAACTGTACATTGTACGGAAATCCTAGTGCCCATTAGAAATTTCATTTTATCTCTTTCACGCGCTACATTGATGCACTTGAATGCATCGATTATACAAGGAGAAAAAAAAAAGAAAGAAATATTTGTCCGTAAAACATTTTTGCAACGCATTTTTTAACTATTAAAAGTGGAAATAAAGAAAAATATATTTATTTAGAAAATGCTATTTCTTTAGAAAATATTATTTATTAAAAACAAATGGAGATTAATTAATGAAAAAGTTATTTTAATAAATCATTTAAAAAAAACGATTTATTCTTAAATTGTATATTGAATATAAAGTCTACTATTTTAAATACATTTTAAGAACATAAGCGCAAAAAAAGTTCATGCCATTTATAAAAAGCATATGGTACAAGGCTTTTATTAGTCACATAGTACACATTTATTTTCAATGTCTACATGTGATACGCTAGATAGTATATATTTTTGATTACTAACAAAAAGGAAGAAGATACGACGCATACGACGATAATCCGTTCATTAATAATTAACAATGCCTACATTTTTTGAAGTATGTATCTTCATTCAATTTTCAACTAAAGATAAAGGACTTTGTTCGTATTCTCATAAACAAATTTGCACTTTAGTAAATATTAATCGGTTTTTTATTTATACAATTATTGAAAAATGAAAAATAAATTGAAGTTTGATCTACTTACACATATATACTATAATTCTATGATTAAAAAGATTCAAAAAATCTAACATCAGAATTATAAGATGTTTACAAGTAAATCAAAATTCAAATATATTCTCGAATCTTTGAGAGATTTCATATTTCTCTCATGCTACATACAAGTTTCTATTTTATCTATTCATAATTTGAAGATTGTTTTTATGTACTTCCTATTATAAAAATAACAACTTATATACTTAATCAAGGTAGCATAAATTATTTAATCAAAAAGTCACGAAACGGCCTAAAATTTTTTATTTTTTTTTTAAAGCTATAAAAATTCTTTATTTAAACGAAGTAGAAATAATGAATAAAATAATAATAAATATTTATTTCTATAAAATGGATAGAAACATATTTAATCAATTGCGATTACTATTTATTCCCGTTTCGTGTTCTTGTTTATCTGGAAATTGTATTATTATTCCGCAATAGAATTCGAATTGCAAAGAAAAACATAATGATATAAAATGAGATGCAATGAAAAAATAACTGCAAATCGATATTTAAATTAACTTACACGATCTTAAATTGATAATAATTAATCATGCTTAAATTAAGAAAACATGCGTTGAATTTTTGCCACAACTTCTGGAGGTAGTTCGGTGAAAATTGCATTCCAGTCATTTACAAAATCTCGTTGAGCAGATTTGATGAATTCCATGATGAGATTTCGTGTTTCTGTAAAAAAAAATTATATGAAAATATAATTTAGAACAATAATTTATTAGTCATATCTTTATAAAATTCTTATATTGAAAAACCAAGGTATTGAATGTTTTATAAATAAATAAATAATTTCTTAAAAATTAAATGAAAGATATTTTTATATATTTTGTGTCATCTATTCAGAGATCAAATTGAAAGAGACAAGCATTTCCTATGGATTTCTTAAAATGTTTATTATTATATAAACTCACCATCATCCATAGCTTTGTCTTCATGTAATATGACAACTGCAACTTTCAACAATGTACGGATATGAGACTGTAGAACAGGGAGTCCAGCTTGATACAATGTAAGAATACTTTTAAATACAGCTTTGTGCTCCTGGAAGTCGGCTTTCAAAGGTAACTGTTGAACAAAAACTGGAAATACTTGTTCGAGCGGTAAATTTGAATAATTTGTAATAATAAGTCGCGCAATCGCTCCAACCACGTTATCGCGTGCGGCTGCATCTGTCTCTTTTGCAATGGCACATGACAGACTTGTTAGAATCTGGGGATAATGTCTGTATTGTAGTTATTGAGGAAATTAATATCATTAACAAAATTATACTTATGTAATTAATCCTATAAAAAATACTGCTACTTAATAATTATAAAAATATTTGAATAGTATTTTGTTCTATGTGTATAAAATAAATCTGTGTAGAATAATATTTTGTATATTTTGTAATGTATTTGAAATTTTAATTAGAAAAAAAAAAGAAATTTAACAAAAGTTTATTTTTCTTCTGATATTTTTTATCAAAACTTCAAATACTAAAACTTTTAATATAAACAAATATTGTTAAGTATCAAATAATTTTTAAATGATTTTCTCCACTAAAAATATATATGATATATATTCAATTACTATTAAATATTAATTGAAAAGGATACGGATAAACTGTTTCCTTTCCATAAAATACCAGTTCTCCAATACCGAAGAAGCTATTACTACGAACTTCACCACAAGGATCTTGAGTTCCAGTTTGTAAAAGAACTGAAAGTAATTGTTGGGTAAACATAGCCGTCATATGTTTTAGTCCCGGGAAACATTCCGCGATTGTACCAACAGCAAAAGATCTTTGTGCTTCGGAATTGTCCATTTTCTGAAAACATTTGGCTTAGCTGAAACATCGAAATTGCGAATTTTTCGAAGAAATGCAAGAAGTCAGTAATAATACCAGTCTCTTTAAAAGAAAAGGCAACGTAGTTTGAAAATAGAGCGCAAAATCTTCTGGCGAAATCACTCTTCCTAAACTGGACAATGTAGAGCCTGCACTTTCTACTAATAATTCATCTTGTTCTGCTTCAGCGCCCTCGACTTCCTCTTCGTCTTGACATGCTGTCCTGCCTGCAACAAGTTGTGATTAAAGATTATATGCATTAATTTATCAAAATACTAAATACATAAATATAAATCATAAGTACCTGTTAGGACATCAATCACACAATTTATTATAGCTTCTTTGTGACCTCCACCAAAGATAACATCTGATTTGATTTCTCTTAAAAGTTTCAGATATGCTTCTAAGCCGCAAATGGCGACCGTCCTTTCTTCGTCTAATCTTATTAGTTCCGACAATTTTGGGATGAACATACAAAGAGCCTTCAACAATGCTTTTCTACCTTCATCGGTATTAATTTTTGAGAAATTAATACAAAATTGTAACAAAGCCTCTATACTCGCTTTACGTATGTCTTCTTGAGGGTAATTGATCAACTTGAAAATCTCCTCAAAACATCTTTCGAGGTACGGCATGAACGCTTCTCTATAAAATATAACAATATCCTATTAAGTATAATCATCTAATTACTAGCTAAAACTTTCGAAAACTGAAAAATTTACTCTGTATATTCAGCGATTTCCTTCAAGGCCATTACACTTTCTTCTTTTTCTTCCATGTAGGCATTTTCAACACTATAGCCTTCGACATCGTCATCATCTTCTTCATTATCAGTATGTTCAATGTCTTCTTCTTTTTCATTATCAGTCTCGCTAAGATCACTGTAAACTGAAAACGCATTAGCATCGTCTTTGAAGTGCATCTGTAACGACAATATTAATTATAACATGTAATTTTCGTTGTAATAGTCTCGAATATCATGATTTACGCGATATTCACCAAAATTCCATCTGAACTCCTTATACTCATTATCATATACTCGACAAGTTCGGGTAAAACTACAGCCATGTCCTTCTTTACTACTGTACTAATGGCGGCGAACAGCCCATAAAGAGATTTCCGCACGTCTGGATCGTCTTCAGAATTTCTTAGAAATTTTATTGCTAGATTGAGAAAAGTAGGCGCTAATGGCGCAAAGTGCTTTTCGCCTATCGATCTAGCAAGTACTCCGAGAGTATCTGAAATAATAGGTATATAATTTTCGAATAATTATCGAATGATTAATTAAATAATTGATCATATTCCTGACTAACCAATTGCTTGAACTTTAAGAAACATGTTTTCTACAGTCACTTCTGCGGTAAGATAATCATTGAGAATATTGATGATTGTTTCAAAATACGGTAGCATATGTTCCTTGCTGGCACAGGCGGCGGCACCTATGGCACTTAGAGTGAATTCTTTTACGTTCGCCGACGTATCCGCGTTCAAGATATTGAATAGCCTCTCCATGAGCTTGGGTAAATACGGTAGAATACTCTCGTGCAAATTTTCGCAGAACATCTCAAGAGCATAAAACATACGACCGATCGCATGCGGTTCTTTTTTCTCTTGTTTGATATACAAACAGACTTGATTTAGATATTCGAACAATACAGGTAACAATTCTGATGAATATTGCGAAATCTCTGGTTGTAAGTGTTCAGAAAATTGTCCTAAGGCGTAAAGTGCGGCATTGCGCACTATAGGCGAGGGATCGGTAATTCCTCGACAAATGCATCGTAGGAAGTATTCGAGATAGTTTAAACGAATATACTCAGCGCAACCTTCCGCTAATACAGCTATCGCTACATACGAAGCCTTCTTCATGTACATATCTGTACTTTGAAGTCCAGGTTCGATATGTCGCAACTGTAAGATTAATATCTCATTATTTTAAATTTAATTTGATTTTCAAATAATTAATGATTTCACAGAATAATTACATCAATATTTTATGAACGAATGCATTTAAAAAATGTGTAATCAATATTAATAGAATTGCATGATGCGAAATATATTTTACAAAATTTTAATTTTCAGAACTATGCAATAATTTTTTAATTTCTAATTTCTAATTTCATAATTTTAAAATAATTTAATATTTATAATTTTAAAAGAAATAAAAAATGTGTATATTATTAAATATATACTCATAAAAATTTTTAATGTTATAGTAATATTAATTAGTTAACACTAGTTTGCTTACCAAATGTGGAAGTAATTTTTCTGGTGGTAAGTGTAACGCAAGCAAGTCTAAAGTTTGGGTACTACTTGTTAAAATAGTATTCTCGTTTTCTGTATTTATATCGTCATCATCTCTATCATTATCTGGCCGAGTCATCATAACTACGAATAACATATCTGCAAATAGAATAAATAATTAAACATCCCTGTTAAGTAACTAAGTAAACTGATTAACTGCGTGCTAAGTAAACTAATTAAATATCAAAATCATCATTTACCGACGATAGGTTCCACTAATTTATGTTTCACAAGAGCCTTTTTCTTTATCCTTGCTAGCCAGCCAATAAAACTAATTGCTCTAACTTTTATAAGATGATCTAAAGATTCTTTAGCAATGATTTCAAGGCACATGTTGACGAGAGATTTGACATGAGGCGTTATCACAGCAATCACATTCTCACACAATTCATCCAGTAACTCAAAGCTTTGGATGGCCATATCTTCATAAGTTTGAGTTAAAGACTGAATTGTGACCATTACACGAGGCATCATGTTAACATAAGTGTTTATGATCTAGAATTGAATGTATATTCTTCAATATTTTGCATTGAGATTTAAAATCAATTAAAAAGATTGAAAATCTATTACATAATACTAACAGCTTCATCATGTTTAATTACAGGAATAAGATGTCGCATTGTATTCAAAACGTAAAAAGCAACTGGCTGTCCTAAATTCTGAAGATTATTTAATGTCTGAGCAAGAAGCAGCGCCAAAGATCTAGCATGTGAAGTGTAGGCATCTGGCGTGACTTCTGTCATAATTGATAAAGTATGGAGGCCTAGCTAGAAAAAAATTTTTAATATCATAAAATAATTGATAAATTTTTGAAGTTTCCAAGTAAAATAATTTACCTATTCTAAGTAAAATAGTAAACCTTTATTAACATATACTTTTCTTATAGCTATATTTTATATTTTGATAAAAATTGATATATATATATATATATATATATATATATATATATTATTTACCTCTTTAACTTCCATATTTTCACTAGTGACTAATTGTTGTACATAATGTATGACTTCTGGCCAACTATTTGTAGGTAATTCAAGTTTAACAATAACACCTACTAACTGAGCTATACTAGTTCTAACAGACTTTACTGATTCATTTCCTAAAGCCTGGAAAAAAATATAGTAAATATGTTACAAAAGAATTAATTAAAATAATCACCTAATTAGAAGAGCTAAATTATATAACCTTGAATTTTTTTATTTTTATATATATATATATGTTTATTTTCCAACATGTAAAAATATCACAAAATTTAATTACTTGTATTTAATTTGTATTTCAACTGTGATTCATGTTGTGTCTTTTTTTATTATAAAAAAAGGATACAATCTTATGAAATAATTTTAAAATTTTAAATTTTAAAATTTAAAAATCTAAAAAATATATATCTTAAAATAAGTTACCCAGCAAACACAGAATATTGTAGCAATATTGCAACATTGCAGCAATGTTGCGGCAATGTAGCTGCAATATTTTGATTTGCTGGATAGAAATGTCTAGGGAAGTATTTTAGAGAATAATCTTATTCTCTAAAATTTATAATAATATAAAAATCTGTGATTTAAATCATTAAAGTACAATATATGTAATATAAATTTTTACCTGTAAAATCATTTTTTTAATTTCACTACGTATAGGTTCCGGTAATTTTGCCCAGTTCTTGCCTTTACTATAACGTCTCCTAAGAATAAGAGCTGCATACTGCCTTACCTAAACATACATTTTCTTTAAGCAAATCTATTGAAACTAGAGTATATGGAAATCAATTTATAATTCTATTAAAACCTCAGGACTCGTCGAGGTCAGTATAAGTTGGCACAAAGTTGATATATTGTCTGGATTTTGAAGAAGTTTTTTCAGTTCCACAGTTGCCTGAAATGAAATATAGAATATTATTTTGAGTTATAAAATGACAGTAGGTTACTATTATTACAAGAAACACTTTGACGTGTTTGTCACATAGATATGTGACAAATAATAATTATAATACCATAAAATATGGAAGATGTAAAAGTGTAGAAATTATTTTGCGGATAGTACAATAAGATCGAGAGAAGATTTTGCACACACATCCAATAAAGAGGAACAATTATATTAAATGGTCTCTTAACAAATTCAAATTCTATTTAAAAGCAAATGGAGTAAAACACGTGTTTTCACTGTTATTAGAATCGATTTGACAAATTCCTATAGCAAATCAAGAAATACGAACCTCTTGTATCATGGCATTGTCAGCCATGAGTAGATTCAACAATATGCGCTCCATCTTTTTGTTTTAGTTGAAAGGGAAAAATCCACTTGACAGTACACGCGGACGAAGAGTGGGCCGGCTGTCGTTCACCGCCATCCAGATTCCGATAAAGACCTTCGGAGCATCATGGATGGGACCTGTTGGTGACGTCTCGGTAAGAGTGCGTTTAAAAATTGTCTGTGGAGTAGAGCAGCGTTTCGACCAATTCGTCTTGACCAATTAGGAGCGAAGTTTCTCTGTCCTGATTGGCCAATTTAATGCTCTAACTCTTAACTCTACCCAATGAGTAAGATTTTCGAACGGACCCACATCCATACGGATAACACGTAATGACATTACGGCGCATGCGTCTCGTTTATTTATCTTTGTCTAACTTTCAGCGAGTAATAAGGATGGAATGATTCTACAAGCGCACATAGTTTAGAATCATTGACGTCACAAGCACTGAAGTTTGAATAAACGGTGAAAAAAATTTCTGTCCTTTTATCATCCTAATTGAACGATTCAAAATGGTTTGTAACGCGAAGTCCAGTGTATTTCGAAAGTTGCATCATCAACGACGCGAATGCTTGTGATTGAAGAAGTGATGATCGAAAAAACGAAGGAGATTCGCTGATCTTTGATTTGGATGCTGTGGACGCGCGAAAATAACCGTTGCATTCATCCGTAACAATCTACAACAATGACAATAATTAGAATTGTATAATTGGTACGTATAAGATTTTTGTATTAATTGCAACGGAAATTGAATTTATGTACTCGTAATCATGTAATGGTAAATCTTGATTTTTTATATTATAATGATTATAATATTATATCAGCAATATTACATAACCAATATTATATATATATATATATATATATATATATATATAATTATTATATAATTATATGTTATATAATATATTGTTTATATAATATTGCTGATATAATATTATATTAGCAATATTACATAAACAATAATTACATAAATATTAATTATAATATTATATTATTATAATATTATATATTATATGTATATATATATATATATATATATATATATTATTATGTTATATAATTATATTATAATAACATTATATATATCATTATATTATATAAAGTTTTATATTATATAAACAATATAACGACAATTGAGAACCGAAAAAAATTGTATTAAACAAATTTTTAAATGTGTATTAAACAAATTTTATACTTTAATAATATTTAATATAAGTAAGATTAGTATTTATAATCATATTTCTAACAGAGCTGATAATTTAGCTGTACATAATAGAAAGTAAAATTAAAATTTAATATTTGTCTATAAATCTAAATTTAATATTTTAAAATTTAATATATGACTATAAATCTTTAAAATTTAAAAGTCTGATACTATTTATTTTTTATTTCGATATATTAAAGTAATATCTCCTCGAATTAAAATGTTTTTTTACATTAAACTGTTTACATTAAATGTTTTTTTACATTAAATAATATTTCGCCGATTTATATGTTGTTATTGCAATATTAAGAATGCAATATTATCAATAATCGGCCATATGCTTTTCAATTATTTCCAGCTTTTAAATATATAACAGTTTTCCTTAATATAAAGAAAATAACAATAATATTTGATTGATGTTTTCTTTGATATGCATATAGAACGAGATTTCGTTTTATCTACTATAATAAAAACGATAATAAAAACTGTTTCTTTATTTTATAATTTGGTAAATGCAGTACATTTTTTTTATTACTTACATATAATATATAATCTTTATAGATAAAAAATAATATCATTTTTACAATTTATCCAAATTTTCAATATTAATAATTATTTTGATAACTGATGCTAATATAGAGTTGCACATATTTGTATGCTTGTATTTGTCATCGCAAGTAAATCGAATTTTTAAAATAACATTGATTCAAAAATCGAATAATTTAAGGAGCTTATGTGAACAGAAGCAGAAAAGTTGCTGTTCTATTAACTAAATTAATAAATAATACAGCGATATATATGCAATATATTATTTTACAATTAGCTTCTAATTTTTGTGAGTGTTAACAGTTTATTGAACATGCACAAGTAAAAATTTAAAAATGCTACACATTATAATTAAATAATTAATTTTAATTAGAAATGTAGCAAGTAATTATATATATAAATATATGTAATTAATATATTACACATATTTGTATTAAACATATATGTATACATACAATTTTTTAACGTACTTTTCAAACACACATCTGTAAGTGTATTCATTCGAACATGCAAGTCAATCAAGTTAAATCAAACGCCGATTTTGTCTTATATGGAATCGTAATCTTTTTTATCTCTTTTTATCTCTTTTTTATCACTGGATAACAATATAGTTTTCCGTTTCTTATCTAGGCGTCTGCATAGCATAAATCGCTAGTCTGTTCTTGTTCTGGTTTAATCTTCCCGCATCGTGGATCAGTTTATTATTTTAGAGCGAACCCCTTCCTACGGAATCCTGCTCTCCGTTATATTCTCCTCGTCCGTTTCTCGTCTTTCTTTCTCTCCCTTCCCCCGTTTTTCTTTTTCTCTTTCTTTTTTTCTACTTTTGCTCGCATAAGCTTCTTGAATTATTCTCGATTTTTGGATCAATGATACTTTAAAAATTCACTTACTTGCCATGAAAAGTACAAGCATACACAAACAAAATTTATGCAACTCTGTTATTATATATCACAACTCCTGAAATAATAAGATACGAGAAAAGATTATCAGGATTAGTTTTTACTTAAGATTTTGAAACATTTTTGTTCATGTACGAATTCGTGTTAAACATGTATGTGTGTAAACTCTTAGGATATCTCTATATATTCTCTTCAACAAGGAGCTTGACACGAGTGTTGGTACTTGAACCATAAGAGAGTAAATCTTGAGAGACTTACCTTGTGACTTCCTTGCATTTCTTATCATTTTTATTATCACTTGTTTAATTTGATATATAATTGCATACAGAAATTTTCCTTAATACACATGAAAGTATTTATCAATAAAATATGTTTGAGATGTTATAGAATGCCAAATACGTTTGAGATGTTATAGAATGCCAAAATTTTCCTCGCAATTTTTCAAAAGTAAAACAGAAAAATATAAATATATTTAATTGAATCTTTTATATATTATAACTACAATATATATTATTAAAAATTATTACAAATTATTACTCAGGTTATTGAGTTAATTTTTTATGTAATTTTTTATATAACTTTTTATATAATTATATAAGAGATTCATATATTTTTTTATAATTCTATTTAAATCCTTTGAATATTAAATTGAGAATAAAAGTTGTATGTATTTTTTAGTTTACTTTTATTAATTCGATTTTCATGAAATATTAAGAGAAAAAACTTCTTTTCTAATTTTCCATACATTTATGATATTTATTTAAATAAAATAAGATATTTTCTTATAATTTTAAATAAAATTAGCTAAGTAAATTAAAGACAAAACTATAAACGTTATCACTATTTAATACATATTTTTATTTAAGCTTTCCAAACATATTAATCAAAATTTCTATTTTTGACTGAAAAGAATTAAAGTATTTCTTGCTTCGGACGCTTAACTTTCATCCCGATGAAACTAACATCATCTTAGAGTAATACGAACACCAAAACAGCGTGGAAGCTGTCAGCAATATCGTTGAGTGACTCTTCTTGCACCTCGTGTATGCATTCGTCAGCTTATGTACATACATTCCGCTTGCGACGTTCGTTCGTAAGAATTCTTTCGTGCTATTTTATTCGCTTTCGATAGTTAAAAATTTTCGATAAAATTTAATCACGAAATCACTTTAAAAATTGCGAAATGTTATTCTATTGATTTGATATAAAATCGCGTTAAAATAGTTTTTCCGTTATTTCAAAAATAATAATTTTTTTACAGGTGCAGATATGTATTTATCTAAAAATTTCAATATTTTTCTTAAAAAAGGAAAATATTAAAATTCAAAATATAAGCTTTCCTTTTATAAAGAAAGATAGCTACTAAGTATGATTCTTTTCTTTCTTTCATTTATTATTCCTCTTAAAAATCGCAAATAATACTTTAAATAACTTATATAAATTATCGAACATATTCATGAACTGAAATAATATATTATTTTAGATTAAAAGTATATATTTACATTACTATAAGTGAGAAAGAGATGTTCCTGATTATTTTCATTATTGATTATATTTATGTACGATTTTTTAAAAGCGAAAGAGTAACTAAAAATTTATAATATATTAATGTAAATTATAAATATATGCATAATGTAGCATATAAGTGATCTCTCCATCGTCACATATCATGTATCAATTGCAAAGAATTAATTTATTATTTTACATTTATATACGAAATTTCGCATTACTAGAAATAAAAAAAACGTAGAATGGAAACGTTTTAATTTTGCTCTATCAGAAAATTTACCTAGGAATCCTTCTTTCGATTCGTTTCCTCCAACCGCGCGATAACGTTCTAAGATCAGCGGGATGTCAGCACTATTTCGGGAGCTGACAGGATCGATTGTCGAATCGCGTTTCCGCGAGAAGGGGAAGCGTCTCCCTGTGCTTTATATCGCAGACGCGATTTTTCTAAAGAATGACAAAGCCGGTATGTATGCGAACACGTGATGCAACAAGACACGGATTTGTCTCCATGATGTTGCTCGAATAAGGATCGTCGGCTAAAAAAGCCGAAAAAGAAGCCTTCTGCCGCCGTCACTTTTATGGCGGGCAAACATGCCCTTCCAACAACGTGTGGCACGCAGTAGTGTTTTTAACAGCAGCGTGTTGCTAACTCTGTCGCTTGCGATATGCATCCTGTTCGTTTACAAAAATACATTTCGACATCATATTATTTTTTGAATTCGATATATGTAAATTTCAATTTTTGTAGCTTTTATACTCGGCAACTCTTGATATTTATTTTGTCAATATATTTTTCTCATCCGCAATATTTATTTAATCTCAATTTTAGAATGCTAATAAAATTTATTTGTCACTCTAATATAGTTTAAAATTTTTTTTAACAATTCACACACACAAAACAAAAATAACAATTCAAATCAAAAATAAGAGAAGAAGCTGTGCAAAGTTTTAAAGATTGCGTCACCGAGTTTATCCGTCATGCGATGACGATACGTCTCCAAACTGTCTGATGACTACGTATATATTGGGGAATTTGTTAGTCGGGGCGAAGTAATTCTGAAAGGAATCTTTCGCAGTATCAACAAAACTGTTATCGCTACCGCAAAACCATTATGACGTAAATGATGTAGGACTGTTTAATTGTATCATCCGGTATGGATCATTGCATCATCTGGCATCAAAACAGTATTAATATCTCTGAAAATTTAACAGAAATCTTTTATTAAAGCTTTATGCTCTGAAAAGAGTTACATCACTTAATCAGGCAAAATATTCTGATTCAGATTATTGGGATAAAAAATCGTGCGCGACAAAGAAATCAACAGAGAATTTTCTTAGCAAACGTTATTTAATTCTACAGACTTTGTTTCTCCGCTCTAGATTTAAATTAATTACATCGACTGATGGATTATAAATATAAATAGGATATTGTCGAGATGCATCAACGTTTTTTTAAAGCGGACGTATCTCTCGATGCGTCTCCACTACGCATTCTTGAGCCACGATCGGTTGTGTGATCATTTTTTACGCAACTATATTTTACATTTTTACTTACATTACTTAATATTCACGCCCGCAACTGCAAATCGAGAATTCTTTTCCCTTTTTATTACTAATTTATAAATTATAAAATTCATAAATATTCAAAATTTTTTCGTATTTCATTGAATATGAAGAAATCTTAATCAATTCCTTTAGAACTGTATACAAGTCAGTGTTTTCAAATTTTTTAAGTAAAGCAAATCAATGTTAAAATTTTTGTAATTTTAGCTTATACCAAAAAATTACATTCTCACCTATCGATATGAAAATTTTGAAAGAAAATGACAAAAATATTCAAAAGCTTGAAGAGTGGCCTTAGTATGAGTACTGGCTTCAGATTCATTCAATCGCATTATTTAACAATACACTGTCTTTTTGCACATTTAATATATAATTCCATGTATTATTATATTTCCAGATAATATCGGAATGGAAATAGCAGATATAATTTAAGATTTGCTAACAATTGTTTGTTTACCGTAAAAATATGAAGCACTTTAGACATTTACAGCGTTTAAAAAAAATTTGGAATATAATTAATTTTGCGAAGTTATATCATTTGTTTCAGGGAAACGTCTTCACATGCTGTACTTGATCTGATCGTAATACATTGTCGCGGGTGGTGGTGTCGATGCATGGTGGATATTCGTCGAAACTGCACCAGGTATGTTGGATATACTTAGACCGCCGATGTTGCTTAGATTTAACGAGCCCAACGAGCTCAAAGAGCTCAAGGCTACTGATCCTCCGGGATGCGCGAAGTAGGATGGTTTACGGTCAATGATGCCACCGCCAGAACTATTTGAACTCGAACTAGAACTGCACTGCATTTTTATACCTGAAATATAAACAAATTTGACAAATTATTAATTATTTCAAAACTATGCATTTTTCACAAGAAATACTTTTCACAAGAGTATCTCGTAAAATATCTGAAAAATTTCTTTAATTTTTCTTTAATAAAAACATATTAATTATTATTTTCTAACAATTTTGCGCAATTTTTAATATAAAATTTTAATATAAAAAAAGAAGCAGATATTTCATATTAAAATCATAAATTAAAATTCACTTAAAATTAAGATTAAGTTAAAACGCGCACAAAAATTCATTATCTTTGGTTATCAATGGCTATCAATGATTCAAGAACAGCTAGATATCTGAAGTGTTGTCTTGATATATACTTGCTCTTTTCTATCGTTTTAAGAGATGTAAAAATATTTGACTTCAATTTTTAAACATTTTATATATACGGATGAGATTTTTCACTCCAACATTTATTACTTAAGATCGCACGCGATGGAAAGGAACGAAAGATCTCACGATAGAAATTGGTACTTGGGTTAGGCATAAATCTCCGGCAGTTCTCAAGTAGCTTCTTCTCAAGCGGCCACTTCACTCATGTTTCGATTTTGTTCTGTTTTTTTTTCACTTCTTTCTTATATCCTCCTATCAATTTTTGCTCCTCGTATTCATATGCGAATTACGGATTTGCTCATCTCTTTTCAAGACTTTCAGCAAGGCTATTGTTTCAAATATTTATCGTCGACCAAATATTGCTAATCTTTTCGTAACATTTCCGTTATTTTAACTCGCAAAGTTTTCCACGTGAGACATTAAAATTACGTTCCGACTTGAAGATGAGCCAGTTTTCTTAATTCGGAAGCGCGACGTCGCGAGTCTTGGAACGACTTCGTGGGTGGTCCGATGGCGCTCCTGTCAGTCAAAATCCCTCTCGTAGGTCCAAATGCTCTCCGCGTTCGATCGTGCGTGTGTGTGTGTGTGTGTGTGTGTGTGTGTGTGTGTGTGTGTGTGTGTGTGTCTCGCGCCATTTCTTCTTTTTTTTCTTCACGCGAACGCGAAGATGCTGGCTTTCAAGGAGCACACGAGTCCGCTCCTGACCGGAATACCGGCACAACAGGCCATAGTTCGGAGTAAAGAGATCGCGCTCCAGAAATATACGTAGAACGTGGTGGGTAAGAAGAGTAAAAAGGCGAGCCTACCGTGGCGTCTGCACGGATCGATCTCGTTTACACTCCACTGACTGACGGAAGACGAACAAGAAGAAGAAATCTGCGATGGAGAAAGCGTGGGTGGCGACGTTTATCTCCTGTCGATCCACGTTGTATCGAGATACAGGAGCAAGAGATTTACTCTCCTTAATCGAGATTAGACTGTTCGCAAACCGAGATATTTGTAGAAATTTAAAAATACGCTGGCGAATATTTCGACCTTTACTCTATACTCAAATTTAATATTTTATGCTAAATTGTAGCATTATACTTCATTAATTATCAATATATAAAATAGATTTAGAATATAAAATATTTAAGTCTTAAATTAACAAGACATTCAACAGAAATTGATTGATTGATTTAATTAATTAATTACTTTATTGATTTATTTAAAATTATAATAATAATTTTGTGAGAAATAACGCTACAATTTTTCTCCATTAAAGTATAATATCTATTAGTTTTTCATACTCACAACTTTATTTGAGATTTAATTATCAAAGTTTAAGATTAAATAAAAAAGAGTTTGACGAGTAAAATGGGCAATAAAGAATTTAAGTGAACAATTTGTGGATCGATATGCTTTGGTAAAGTTAGCGCCGTAAATATTACGATGCTTCATTCTCTATAGGGTTAAGGCCGAATTAAATCATCTCGTTTATGCCTCTGATAAATATTTATGCGATAAATGATTCGAGCACGCACTTGTTAGCACGCGTCTACGTTTGAGAGACGAAAAATTGCATTTTACGTCCATCTTCCTCAACCTCGAAAATAAATAATGATTATTTTTATGAGATCATTATTATCAAATAATGATCAAATTATTACAGAATTGCATTTTCAATATTAAACATCAATACTGATGATTTAAGTCTAAGAAAATATATTGTATATATTATATCTATATTTATATATCTGTGCTATAGATTCACACACACACATAGATTGCAAATAAGATATTGTGGATCAAATTTGATATAATTTTTTTACTTATATCGAACCTATCGACTGTTTCGTTATCGTTACCATAAAACATGGTGTGTTAACGAGCATTTTATTATCGCGTTGTCAGATACAGTGCTGGCTAAATTAATCTCACGAGAAAAGGAAATGCCTTGACGCCTCCGTCTTACGGCGAGTTACACGTGTTAAGTTACAGGCTACAAGTTATGAGCTCGGAAAGCGTCGCATGGGCGTGACAGGAATGTCACTTCGGTTAATTCTTTCTGTCAGCTATGACGATTTAAATCGTCATAATTACTTTGTATCTATCCATTCCTGTTTTCTCTAGCAATTAATCTTTTTATCATTATATCAATCCAAATTGCCTGAACACGTTATATGTCATACGTTCTGTCTTAACATGCGCGCATTATGTAAAAATAAATTATTATTTAAAATTTATTGTAATATCTTATTTGCAGATATAATTCTAATATGAGTATAATATTATAAATTAATTTAGCATTACTTTTATAATTTCAGAAAAATAAAATTAAAAGTTAATATTTTTATTTAATTCTCAAAATTAATATCTATTAAAATATACATAATATAAGCATATATATAAATTAATTTTATATCTGTTAAAATATAAGACAGGCAATTTTGAATTGAATAACAAAAATATGATTTAAATGGAATGAGAGAATTATATTCTTTTAAAAAAATTATTTTTTTTGCCGATAAATGAATATATTCTGAGGATCAAGTTTGAACTTGTATCTATAATTTTTTTATTATTATAAAGGATGGAAGGTTTGAAAGAATAGTCGCACCATGGTTTCACTTTGCAGGACACGGCGCCTGAAAGATCGTAAACTGTCTCTAATTTTCCAGATGGCCCCTAAATGACGCGAGTCATCAATGTCGTCCTCGCGACGCAAAGAGAGCTCAAAAATCGTAAATGCGGTATCTCGTTGCATTTCTCGTCCATTGTTCTATGATATCATATTTTCAAGTCATATATCAAGTTCGCAATTTAAACTTTTTGACACGCTTCAAATCTATTTCTAATTAAAATCGTATTGTCGCGAATTACTATATCTAATTGTTACATGTTCATAAATTTTCTTTACACTTGACATTTCTAGATTATATTTTATCATTTGTCTAATTTTCTTATTGCATTTCATTGTATTGATATATATCATTAGAAAATTTTAAATGATTTTTATAAATTTTTCACATTTTGTACATTTTTTATATGCGTGATATTTATTAAACAGAAATATTGAAAAATTAAACATAGTAAGAGACGTAGAAGTAGACTATTGAGAAATTAAGAATATATAGAATATATAGAATATAATATTTGTACGTTATAGAATATAATATATATACGTTTTTTATGTATCATAACAAAAAATATTTTAAAAATTACTCGAATAAATAACAAAATAAATTTAAAAAAATAAATAACATAATTAATAAATAACAAAAATAAAAAAATAACATAATTAAAAAAAAACACGACAAGAAAACTAGCGTTTACGAGCCACAGCGGATGGTAATGCCTAAAAATTCTTTTAATTGTACGCGAAATTTAAACGAGAACAAGGCATATATTTTACTTGGTGCATTTTACCAAGATATAGATTCTCATTTTTGAGAAATTCTATAAAACCCTCTTTACCCCCCTGAAGAGACGTAGACGAGAAAAATATCGGGGCGAAGTCGCTGAATCGGGAAAGAAAAAACATACACATATCTTTTCGGCGGGAAAGAAAAAAAGTATTCCTACTCACCGTGATCCGCAGGGGTCTGGCATCCACTGTGCGGCGAACTAACATTAGTTATAGGACTGCTATTACCACCCGGTTGCTCCTGCATAGGTTGCATGGTGATATTGACACCGGTATTGTTGACTCCAGCGAGACCATAACCGACATAATAATCTTGTCCAGGTGCTTGAGTCGTGGGTGTCGAGCACTTGGAATAGTTGCTCATCATTGTCTCGTCTTTATATTCGGTTGTGTGGTGTTGCTGATGGTGATCTTTCACCGTCGGGAAACCGTCGGTCGGCGGCCGATAGGTCGTCAGCTGATCCTGGCTCCTGCCGCCGAAGGCAGGCTCGCTCTTGAACGTCACTAGATCGCCGTTCCTGTAAAGCGATGGTGTCGATTCGCTGCCAGTCTTGTATGTGACCTCGGTGGTCTTGTAGGTCACCTCGGCTATCGGCGGCCCCGATTTGTATGTCGTGTGTCCGTCCGGATACGCCCAATCGGCGGACACCGCCGCGCTCGGCGCGTACATGGCGTATTCCTGATAATTCTGATATTGATTCTGATAACCGTTGGCATATTCGATTCCACCTGGACCGGCGGCCAGATTCTCGTACGGACCAGGTGTTTGCACGCCGACGGGACCGGCGCCCGAATAGTATTGCGAGTACTGCGGCTTCAGGGCTTGACACTTGCGCCGAAAGCCGCGCGGCCGTCGCCGAAAGCTACCCTCTTCGAACATGTATTCGGTGGATGGATCGATGGTCCAGTAGTGACCCTTCCCGGGCCTACCCAGGCCCTTGGGTAGCTTGATGAAACACTCGTTCAGGCTGAGATTGTGACGCACCGAGTTCTTCCAACCCTGATAAGTGCCCCGGAAGAAGGGGAAACGCTGCTGTAGAAACGAGTAGATCTCCGACAAGGTCAGCCTCTTCCCCGGACTCGACTGGATGGCCATCACGATCAGCGCGATGTACGAATACGGAGGTTTTTCTTGGCGACGAGTGCCCGGTTTCCTGGGTATCTCGTTGCTCGTAGGATTGCACATCAGCGGCTCCAGATTCGTTTCCTGAGGCAGACTACTCGCGCTCATCGGCAAGAGCGCCGATCGTGCGGCCACCGTGGAATTTGGATGCACGACGACCGTCTGCTCCTGTTGACGCAGACCGGAGTCGGTTTCGTTCTTCATGGCCAGCCGCACACTTTCGACGTCGCGCGGCATCGACGGCACGATCACGCTCTGGTCCATCGAGTCTTGGTTCTTTAACGATCGACGATCGTCAAAGTTCAGCCAGGGCGAACATATCTCGGCGAGCGACGTTTCCGAACGATTCAACGAACAAATGCACTATGTGATTTGCGGCGATTCGCACAGGGGTATCACGAAGGTTGCACAATGCGATTGTTATAAATCACGGTTGATTTTACGAAAATCAAAATTGAGGCGATTAGAACTTGGTCATTTTTCTCTCGCGGAGCAACGAACCCGCGGGACCTTCGCCGGCACCGATAAACGCGACTCCGAGGTTGCGGATATTTACACAATCGGATGTAAATTGTTTGCGTGATTCCGCCGCGGAGGGGTCAATTATTTAGACTCGCTCCTCGGAGTGACGACCTATGGCTTACGGAGTCGCTGTGAGATGCGCCGCTAAGTGTTTTCGGATGACTGCTGTTCGCCCGCTCGGCACGAGAGCGGAATCTCGCCCGCGGATGACGTTGATCGCAGCATGACAGCGTCGAGACGAGCGTCTCTCTCGTAGGCGTGACGACGAAGACGAGAACACGAGACTGGGATTGGTCGCACGGCGATGTTTCGGATGAAAGCCAGATGCTGTGACCAATGGCGTCTCGAACTGGTTTCGCATCATCATGATTCTCCAACGTCTTCCTCGTCGTCGCGGGATTATGGGGAAGTGGATTGCGTAATGGCGTTATTTGGATTCATCCGTCGGTGGTGTATGCCATCATATGGCTCGTTGCGTTTTATAGGAAGTCTGCAATTATCGTTGATGTTGCAAGAGGAAGATAGAGTAAGACACTCATTTATTGAGGCAGAGTGAAAAAAGTACATATATGACTAACAAAATACTTGTAAAACCCCCATGAAATGTGATTTATGAATATGGAAAAAGTTTAGAAAATGTTTAAGAGATATCTCTGAAGGACATCTTCCAAATTTGAAACATTTCTAAATATTTATATTGGTCTATGAAGCTTTACATTTCCTAGTTGCATAAAATGACAAGTGTGGATAAGATATGTTTTCGCGTTAGTAAATACAGATAGATATTCAAGATGCATGATTTGAATATTTTGACACTTCAATGAAATGCAATTGAAGTGAAACATTTTTTTATTCAATTTTAGAAGTACAGAGAACGGATTTTTAAAGTGGATTTATAAATCATGAAATTGTATGATAAATGTTACATTATGAAATTTTATATTAGAAAATTTTAGACTATTTATTTATACTTTTTTTTAAATTCTACTTTTTGCGTCTGAAAATGATTAAAACATTCAAATTATTTTTATTTCAAAAAAATTCATAATTTATTCTAAACTATATAAAATAATTATACATAATATAAAATAATTTTTGCATATATCTAAATAATTTAAAAAATGTTAAATATGTAAGAATAGCGTTAAAATCTTAAGACGTATTCCCCTGAAATCACATTTTTTTATCTTATATATCTTTTTTTCGCGAACCATTCAATTGTTATTATTATTTTTATTTTATTCAGAAATAAATAAACTATGAGAGAGAAAGATTTTATTCGGTTAAAAAAAAATATTTTATCAAAAGTTTCATTTAAAATCGTCAGAAAAGTTGACTTTATTCCAATCATAGCACAAATTCAGAAAGAACTTACTCAGCAAAAAAACATCGATTAAATTGTAATCAAATATATAAAAAAAGGTATAAAAAATGATTCGTAAGTATTATATCAAATCAGTTTTGAGAAAAAACGGAACATAAAAATAAATAGCTTTGCCATATGATTTTGCAATTGCACTCTATCTCTCTTAAGAAGTAATAAAGTTTGGTAAAAAAAATCAGAATTCTAAATTGAATGAAAATAGACGAAAAATAGAATATACTGTAGAATACATTAATTCCAAATGTTGCAATTTCCAAGATGTTGCATATGTATTTATCGCTTTCTTAATATTTATCAAATATACGTTCATAATTACATAAAATTTGTAAAATTTGTTTGTACATAAAATTTGTTTTCACATAAAAATGTAATATATATTTTCTTGTTAAGTCAATTATATCTGTAAATGAAAATTTCCACAAGATTTCCGCAATATAAGCACTCATCGATATTCTTTACACAAGCAACTCGTACTTAGTTTACTTGAAAATTACACATGGAAGTATCACCTCGAAAGATTTTGCTATCTGCGTGTACGCTGAGTAATGTATCCGTCTTCGGAACCGCGATGCACAGCTGCGGATGCAAATGATGAAGAAGATGAAGAGAAGCAATTGGTCCATCTCTTAACCAACAGGATGCTGTTGGTTAGCCCCGCCCGTTCACAGAACCGCCTTACATATTTTCCTCACGGCGAAGCTTCGTCACAAAATGCAAATTTTTTTCAGCAAAGCAAACTTTTTTCGAAGAATTGAACGATTTCACTACCTCCATTTTTTATGAATTTTTTTAAATTCAGAAAATATTACTATTATTGTTAAGAAACGATTATTTAATTCAATTTGGAAGTCAAATTTTTTATCGATATTTTTATCGAAAGGACAAGATTCATATATTAAATTTGAAGTTTCAGAAAAAAATTAATTTTTTACATGTATGGAGCATGCATTAAACGAGATTTTTAAATTCCTTCTCTAATTTGTAATTTTGTTAATATTAAATAAATTAATGAAAGTATATCTCCATTTTTCTCATAATTAAATGAGATTAAATGAATATTAATTGTGAGTTACTTATAAAATAATTCACATTAGTAAAATTTAATGTATCTTATTTAGACATTTAATAATAATAAGCTTATTAATTAAAAATCTTGCAAATCTATCCATAAACTAAAAATTATTTAACATTTTTTTTTAATTTTTTACATAATTATTAGTATATATTCGATTTAAGAATATATTCAAATTTTTTTCTTTAGATTATATTTTCAATCTTGAAAAGTAAAAGGATATCTGTCTTTAAAATTCTTTTAAACTTTAGAATTAAAAATTGTATTACACTGAATTATTAATTAAACATATGCTTTCATTGTATAATAGATATTACATAACTGAATGCATATAAAATATTTTGGGGAGCGTTTTTGTACAACCTAACAATACATTTTTACATACAAATTATATACATTTATCATACAAAACATTATGTTATCAAAACATTATGTTATTAATAATTGTCAAGAGAGAACTATATTTACTGTATTAAATACTGTATTAAATATTTATATATGCAAAATTTAAATATCCAGTGGACAATCAATGAATATTTAAATCTTGCACAATTCATGGACAATCATAAATAGATTACTATATCATACTTTTTCTTATACATGAAACATTGAATAATGAATCAATATACTATCTTTTCGATTTGATTCCAAGTGTAATTATAATTTTCGACGTATTGCGAGTGTAAAAAATGATTTTCTGGCGTGCTGCTGCGCATAAAGATCTTCGTATGCCTTTTAACGATACTTGCCAGGCAATCATCACTCGATACCAAAAGGACGATCTCAGTGATCGAAGCTTCAATCGAGAAGAGATGTTTATTCGACTTCACACGTGACCGAGTGTCGAATAACCAGCAACGATAGAAAGAAAGAGTTCATGCGTTATCACGGTGCCCCGTTCCACGTGCTTAAGTTTATTGCGATCCTTGAGAGACTGGTCTCGAAAGGATGGCACTCTCTCTCTTTCGAGAGGTCGTAAAAGAAATTTTGCTCGTAAATTACAAGAGTTCGCTCTGAGATCCCATCGAGGAAAAAATAGTGCATCCGCTGATGAAAAAACGTAATGCTAATTAATTTTGAAAACTAGTTGAATAAATTAATTTCTGCAGGATTTGTTTACAATTATGTATAATAATGATTACTTATAATAATTACTTGAATTACTTATAATAATGATTACATATAACATGTAAAAATAGCATAAAGATCTATAGAAGACAAATAATAATTTTAATTCCTTTAGAATACTTTGAAATATATATATGTATATACATATAAATTTTCTACATATTTTATACATTAATACTTTTTAAAAGGTACTTTTTCATTTTCTTGATTTTTCATTTAATCTTAATAACTGAGTTATATATAATAATAATAATTATATAATAATAATTGAGTTTGAGAAAAGAACAATATTTATTTCATTTTTTGGAAGAAAAATTTCTATATTTTTGGAAATTTTCTTACTCTTTTCTTGAATGTTTTAATAATCAGATTTTTAAATATATTCTCTGCTTGTATCTAATAACGTAATTATTTCAGCATTTGCTATTATAATTTCCGAAAGGATACAATTGATTTTTTATTTAAGAAATTTTATTTAACTGTCCAGCAAACATGATAACATCTAAAAACATCTCAATGACGTATTAACGATATATTATACGTCATTAAAATGTTATTAAGACGTCTTTAGACGTCATCATGTTTGCTGGGATTCATAACTGTGAGAAAAATTGATAGTTCTTTTATTTGATCCTATCAATATGATAGATATTAATTTTCAGAAAAAGTTGCGCAATTATTCCTTTTTTTCTTGTATCATTTGAAACAAGAGATAGCAAATAAATAGATCTATTTTGTCACTAATTTATTCGTTATCGGTTAAATTAGACATTAGAAAAATGGTGACTAAGGATGTTAGGCCACGCGGTGGATGTTGTAGACCACGAATTCTCAGGAGGAGTTTATTTGCCTTGGAGCAAACGAGCCGACGAAAGAGGAGCAACGTGGCCATCTTGTCTCTGTCTTCATACTTCCTCTCTGCGCCGGTTCTCCTCGCGATCTACGTCATCCATCTGTTTATTTGATTCTCATTTATTCTAATTAGGATTAAATACCTAACTTTACCGACGTCGTATGTAAATTTTTCCGAATCCAAAAGTTACAAAAGAGAAAATTCTTGTTTTCAATATGACACAAATATTCAGCAAGTCCTCTCTTTCTCTCTCTCTCAAGATTAAATAATACCAGTGCACGGAAATTTCACTCTTTCCTTTAATATAAAAAAGCGAGGAAAAATTTATGAAAAGAACAAAAATCTGTGTTATAATTGTAAAATATTACATTTAAATTAAATAATCATAGAATATCACATTTAAATCTTTAAGTGAACATTCCTTAAAATCAGTAAAGCGTATACGTTGTAACGGGATTCATGTCTTAAGGGTTGAAAGTCAAGTGCTTTGGTCCTTGTAACGATTGCTCCTCTCTTCCTTCTGGCTCCTTCAAACCGAGGGCAACCTTCGTAGATAGTGGTACTGCCTGTTTACCGTTTTACTATTTTCGAGCCCTCCCGTGACATTTTCTGCGACAGCTTCAAGTGCTTCTTCTTGAGGGAAAGTAATTAGCTTCTGCCATAAAAACTAGAGAAAAGTGGGAAGATGCGTGCCGCATCTCGGGTGGCAATCAAATATTTGTATGCAGACTCTAATATTATAGAAAAGATTAATGTGTAACTTATCACACGCTTGTATTTATTTATTCATTAATTAAATATCATAACAAATAAATAAACACAATAATAACAAGAAAATGCAATATAATTATATTATCGATATTTTTTGTCTAAATATTGATAAGCGATGTAAGCAATTATAAACAATCGAGCGATTTTATTGCGAGGGTCGTGGATGTTTTGTTAAAGATAAAAGCGCTTGACGAAAAAAAACCGGGACCACCCTAG